TTCTGCTCATGGTTTCTTAACAGTCTTGCTGAGCTGTCTATGTTCTTTTCCAGTTGAAATACTTTGTCTTCATTGTCTGATGTTCTATCTTCTAAGTGTTCTACTCTGTTGGTAGTATTCTCCATTGAGTTTTTAAGTTGGTTTATTGCTTCCTGCATTTCTAGGATTTCTGATTGCTTGTTTTTTATAACCTCTATCTCCCTGTATAGTTGATCCTTTGCTTCCTGGATTTGTTTGCGTAATTCGTTGTCGAAGTGATCTTTCATTGTCTGATTTTGCTGTTTAATGTCTTCCTTGATACTCCAGATCATCTGAAGCATGTATATCCTGAATTCTTTATCTGACATTCCATCTGCTGCAGCTGTTACCTCTTCTAAAGTTGCGTTGACCTGCATTGCTTGTGGTCCTTTCTTTCCTTGTCTTTTCATACTGCTTGCGTATCTTTCCTGCAGGTGCGGGCGGCGGCTCTGCTCTCTCCTTATTCCAATTGGGGTGTCGTGGCTACCACGCCGGCAGGTCACTGGGCCTGTTCTGGGAGCTGGTGGCGGCTCTGTTCTGCCCCTACTCCAATTGGGGTGTCGTGTCTGTCGTACCAGCAGGCCACTGGGCCTGTCCTGCTGGTCGGTCGCAGATCTGCCCACCTTTCGGGCACGAGTGGAGGCTCTGCTTTGCCCCTACTCCAATTGGGGTGTCGTGACTACCCCGCCTGCAGGATGCTGGGTCTGTTCCTGGCAAGGGAGGCGACTCTGCTCTGTCCCTACTCCAATTAGGGTGGTGTTTGTACCCCGCCGGCAGGCTCCTGGGCCTGATCCGCCGGTCTGTTGTAGGTCTGCCTACCTTGAAGGCGCTGGCGGCGGATCTGCCCTGCCCCTCCTACCACGCCTGCGGACCCCTGGGCCTGATCTGCAGGTTGATCACTGGTCTGCTCACCCTGCGGGCACGGGTGGCGGTTCCGCTCCACCCCCACTCCAATTGGGGTCACGTGACCACCACACCGGCAGGGCCTGATCCGGGCGTGGGATAAGGATCTGCTCTGCCCCTACTCGAGTTGGGGTGACGTGTGTACCACACTGGCAGGCCACTGGGCCTGACCCGCCAGGCTGTCACAGGTCTGTTTACCTTGCAAGCGCGAAGGGCGGCTCTGCCCTGCCCCTCCTACCACGCCCATGTACTACTGGGTTGTGGGTCTGCCCACCTGGCGGGTGTGGGTGGCGGCTCCGCTCCGCCCCCTCTCCAATTGGGGTCACGCGGTCACCACGCTGGCGAGCCGCTGGGCCTGCTCCGGGGGCTGGCGGCGGCCCGGCTCCTTCCCTCCGGCTCGAGGACAAATTGAGGAGACTCCGGTGACTGAGCCTCACCCCCCTTACCAGAAGACCAACTGCTTATGTCACCGCTGGTATTGATGAAGATCTCTCCTCCACCGCTTTCTGCTGACATCAGATCTCTGCCATGTTGGTATCCTATGCGAATGGCAGCATTTCGTTCCCCTTGCCAGGCAACCCAAGCAATGGGTGAGTCCTGACCTGCCCTCAGCAGGACCCGGACCGAGACACAGTTTCCGCGGACTCCTAGCCCCGGTCCAGGGAAGTTCCGGGAGCCGGAACTCGGCCGCTCCGTGCTCGGTGTAAGCTCCTATAAGTGTAGGCTCCAAGAAGCAGCCCCCCGCGGGCTCAGTTCCGGGAGCCGGAATTCGGCCGCTTAGTGTTTGGTGTATGCTCTGATAGTAGCAGGGTCCAAGAAGCAGCCTCCGCGGGCTCCACAGCCCTGAGCCAGGGCGGTTCCGGGACGGTTCCGGGAGCCGGAACTCGGCCGCTCTGTGCTCGGTGTAAGCTCCTATAAGTGTAAGCTCCAAGAAGCAGTCCCCGCGGGCTCAGTTCCGGGAGCTGGAATTCGGCTTCTTGGTGTTTCGTGTTTGCTCTGATATTAGCAGGGTCCAAGAAGCAGCCTCCGCAGGCTCCGCAGCCCGGAGCCAGGGCGGTTCCGGGACGGTTCCGGGAGCCGGGACTTGGCCGCCCCGCGCTCCGTGTTCACTCCGATAAGATCAGATTTTAAGAAGCCCCCAGGCGCTGAACCCTAGCAATCTGTCTGCAAGCCGCAGGCGAATTGCAGCCTGAAATTACCTGTTCTATGGCTGAATGAGCTGCGGTCAGTCAAAAACCTGAAGTATGTTTTCAAATAATTAAGCATTAAAAATATACAGGATATCAGATATGATAAAGAATTTCAGATGAGGTATGTGTGTTAGAAGGCTGGTTAAGTCTCCAATCTGCTTAACTGAGTTTTATTTCCATGTAATTTCATAATAAAGTTAAAGAGTTTAGGATTAATGTGACTGTTCACTTGACATCATTTTTAGCAATGTTTCCTCAGAGGAAGTATTCAAGGACACATTCTGTGGGCTACTCTGAACCTCATGGTTTAAAAATAATTATAATAGCTTCCACTGTGGTAAATGTTTTATGTACGTTTTTCATTTAATCCTTACAACAGTATCCCTAATACAAAAAATATTTTCTTCATCTTACAGATAAGGAAAGTGAGGCACAAAGAAGTTAAATTGCTTGCATATAGCCCAGAGAGCTTAAGTAACTACAAAACCCACACTTTAAGTCATTAAAAAATCATGATTAACTGCTTCTGTGTAGTTGATTTATTAAAAGTCATGAATATTCCCCTTACTTTGGTTTCTATCAATAAATATTCCAGTGACCTGAAACTTGAATCTATCTAAAATCTACATATAAATGGAAGCTTTCTGTGGGCAAAACACTGATTGTTTTCAAAGGTCCTGAATTCTTTAATATACAGCAACTAATTCAGACAGGCATGTGCACATTATCAACAGACATCCATGAATACATCATCAGCAGGAGGCTAAGGCAGAACCCAAGTTTATATTTTGCAATGAAGGACTCTTGCTCATTATCTCGTCTACTCTCACAATAACTTTATGATATGGGTGGCTGTATTTACAGAAGAAAAAAGTGAGGACAAATGTGATTAAGTGATTTGTCTTAGATCACATAATATGTGAGAGGATTTCTGACAGATTAGGTTTCTGTCTCTCTCGCTGCTAGGCTAAATGCTAGGCCAAAAAATTTCAGTTTATCAGTTGGACAATGGATGTTGCTGAAAAGTTCTGAGCAGGGGACTGAAATAATGTGAACATGTATGGAATACATCAAACAGGTGGCCTAATTCAGAAAAAGAAAGCATCAGAGAAAACCAATGTCAAGAAGCAGTGCGACCTCTCTTGGCCATATGATTCTTCCCTAATAATTATAATGACAATAATAAAAGGCAACACTTTTACATGTGTGTCAGGTTCTAGACACTATATATAAATATGTATATATTTAATTTTCACAATATATATATTTAATTCTCAATATAACTCTATAAGGTAAATACAATTATTATTCCCATTTTGGAGAGGAAAAACCATGTACAGATTAAGAACTATGACCTAGATCAGAGTATCACTAAGTGGTGAATCCAGAGCTCTAATACAGGTGATCTGGCTTTATGTTTGTGCTTCCAACCACAACAGCATTCTGCTCCTCATTTATCTAACAAGTTCATTCCACCAATACTTCCTGGGTACTCATTAAACAATAACAGGATATACTAAGCTTTAGGTTAATAAATTAGAATCAATGCCATGAAAAAATATATGTAAAAAAATATCTTATTTTAGACTTTTCAAGAGATAAACATAAACCAAAATTAGAAAATCATTATAAATAATTCAGTATATGTTCAAATGTTCATAATTAATAGTAGGTAAATTATCAATTATCACACTAGTTAAATACTATAAACTCGTGATTTCAGGATTTTAAAAAACTAAGCCCTGAAATCAGTATGAGATTGGAAAAAAATCCCCCTTCAATGGCAACAGAATGAGGAATCCTTATTGCACTGTATGGACAAAGGCTTTAAAGACATCGCTTCTTTTCCCTCCAAATAAAACAAGATGATCCACAATAAAAAATTCCCTTATACCTTTATTATAAGACAAGAGCAACCCATTTTTCTGCCAGGTTATTGCATTATAAAAACAAAACCAAATCAATATAGTCATTTTTCAAACATAATCTGACTAGGTGCCATGGATTATGCTATTTTATAAGCAACTCATTTATTCGTTACATTAACCTAAGATAAAGGTACTATTATCATCTTCAACTTCAAGGGGAGGAAACTGAGGCAAAGAAAGATCATAAAATATGTAAAGTATATGACTAATGAAGCAAGGGTTCAACTCAAACAGAATGAATCTGAAGCCCAGGTCCTGAGCATCATGCTATAGTAGCTCTCGGCTGGAGAGCAGTGTATGTACCACTCCACTTCTATCTGTAGGGTAGCATTTCCTGTAAACAACCTGCTCTCCCAGTCTACCTCTTTCTTCCCACTAAGTTCCTCACTGCTCTTTCTGCTTATCCTCTAGTTCACCTGCTGCACATTTGCTTTCCAGCATGAGCCTGTAGCTCCTGAAAGCATTCATAGGTTTCTGCTCAACAAACCTCTTTTGAAAAGTAGATCCTACTCATTGAACTATTTGAAAGCAAATATTTTACTGATGCCTATTAGCAAAAATTCTACCTATTTGAGCTTTCAAGTTTTATAAAGGACAAAGACTACATAACTTCTATTTCTTCATTTTTATATCCCCCCAGTAGAACCTTGGTAAATGAATCAAACGAGAGATCATGAATTTCATACCTTGGAATAAAGTATTAATAAACATAGTGGTTCTCAATTTTTATTGGGTATTAGAATCACCATGAAGGATTATTAAAACACACATGACCCTGTGTTTATTCTGGCCCACCCCTAGTGTTTCTCATTCAGCAAGTAGCCTGGGTGGGCCGGAGCATCTGCACTTCCAAGTGATGCCGATGCTGCTGGTCTGGAGACAACACTTTTGAGAATCAGTGAATTGGAACACAGATATGAGGGTCATCACATCATTTCATTCCCATTCAAAGCAGATTTACCTTGGGAAGCTCCAGATGGTGCACATTTTTAAATGAACTGAAGTCCACAACTGTATCAGAAATAGCAACATTTGGTTCCACCTGACAGAAAAAGAAATGGCAAAAAAGGCAACTAAATGTTACACATTTTTTTTTTTTTTTTAGAATAAGTTTATTTTTTTATTTATTTATTTATTTTAAATTTTTTATTGTGGGTTGTTCAAAACATTACAAATTTCTTGACATATCATATTCCACACTTTGATTCAAGTGGGTTATGAACTCCCACCTTCACCCCATACACAGATTGCAGAATCACATCAGTTACACATCCATTGATTTACATATTGCCATATCTTAGTCAAAATTATCTCATATATTACAATTCATTATTACTATTTTAACATCTTATGGAATTTATGAACATTCCATTCTCTTAAAGTACTTAGGAGATGTAACTTATCAGCAACTGCTCTGGCACACAGAATGACTGTGTGGCTCCAGAGTCTGCGGACTGACTCCATAAAGACATCTAACAGTAGCTCAGCCATCCCAAGTAGAAATCACAGACACTCAGAGCACCAAGAGGGCACCACTCACTATTCTTCCTGCCTTAGTTATCATGTGAATTTAGATATTATTAAATGTTTTACCTGAGAATTAATGAAACACTCCTTTTTCTTAAGGGACATATTTAGTACTATTAATATGAAAATAAAAATTTCCCCTCTATAACCATCTTAAGTAATGATGAGACTCAGTTCAACATCAAGAGCAGCTAGGATACATCATTTATCCTATGTACAAATAAGCCCCCTGTTTATATATTCATTCAGAGAAGAGGGTTTCTGTTCCCATACCTTCTCCCACTGATAATCACCAAGGTTCCTCCAATTTTTAGCATTTCACTTTCTATTACCTCCTTTAATTCATCTTACATATATATTCTCTTCTCTCCTTAATCTGTTTGTCATTATTTGCTTTTTCCTTTCCTCACTGCTTTCCCAATAATCTCCAAGTTAGCAAATCCAAGGCACTTTCTGTCATGTTCTTACTGGGCGCCTCTGCAGCATCTAAGGTTTTGAAACGTACCCTTCTCCTTGAAACATGCCTCCTCAGTGCTGTTCAACATGCCCTTCTAGTTCTTTTTCCTTCTCCCTGACCTCCCTGTTCAGCCTTTCTCCTTTTTATTCATATTACATGAGTCTGCCTTTGGCCTTCTGTACTCTAACATTCTCTATAGGCAAGTGCTTCGTCCTCCTGGTCCACAAATACCAAATTTGTATCTATGGGGATTCATCTGTAAACTCTAGACCAATGTCCTAAGGTACACTTCTATATGACTTCCCAACAGGCACTGAATTTTTAAGTTGCTTCCAATAGAATGTGGATAGTTTGGCAAATATATACTCCTTTTTTCTTTATTTTCTATTTTTGACAATTCAAGCCTCACCAAGTCAGATATCAAATCAGATATCTGAAAGCCTTATATATCCTTTTATTCACCAGCATATACCCAGCCCAATGAGGCAGAATATTCAGAAAATATTTATTGAATAAATATTCAGTCACTTTTTTTGTTCGAGTTCCAATATTTGTTTGAGTTCCATACTTTCTCACAAAGTCAGCCTACAGTATTCTGTCAGGATGCTCACCATGATCTGGCCCTGTGCCCTTTATCAGGCTCTTTTCCTCACCACTCCCCAATCTCTGCCCTACACTGCTCAGTAATGCTCTGTAGTTTTCAATTTCTGGCATGAGCCAGTGCTTCCATGCCATTCCTTACTTCATGCCCTCTGTCTGCAATGTTTTTGCACCCAAATCTTGCAACATACACTTCAAGAGTAACTCCTCTATAAAGTTTTATTCTCACTCTCTTCCTAGAAGCAGAATTGGCACCTTTTCTCTGGCTCACACTGCTGCCTACGTAGATTCTACTGGTAGCCTTCACATGAGTAGTGTGCTTATTTACATGAGTATCCACATTTAGTAAGCCATAAACACAATGTACTGGGTTACAATTCACATATAAACTCATTATATGAAGCTATAATGCATCTATCTTTGATACTGCAGTGCATTTTCTATAATTGTTAGCTGAGTTAATAAGAGGGCATATCAATCAAATCTTTCCAGAGAAACAAACACAACTTCCAAATAATACCTCCTTATTTTGAAGATTCTCTGAGGTAGAAGGCAAAGATTCTACTGTACTTCCAGGACATACAGCCATCTGACTCACTGCCTCTTTATTTCTAAAAGGAAAAAAGAATCAGCCTATTATATCCCCATAATGATATTATTTTCATTTTCTTACTTGAAGTCAGATTATTAGGAAAAATTCTCTAACCATAAAGACTTGGAACTACAACAGTCAAACACATATGTTTTACTTTCATTCAAAAGAACTCCGAGTTGAAATTCTACCCGCCCCCCAAAAAGTTTAGTAAACCAGCAAAAGAAAATGCTCACCTGATAAAAATTATTTTTACTTTAGAAGGGGCACATTTAATTATTGATGAGGCATTTTGATGACTTCTTCCATATAAAATTTGACCATTGATCTATGAAAAATAAGCATCATTAGTTAAGTCTCAAATTTCAATTTCATAAGATTTTATCATCTTATCTAGCTAATAAAAAGCACATTTCTTTCTTTCTTCAAAATATTACATGTTTTTTCCTCCATAGAACATACACATGACTTTGGATGGTGAATAAAGAAAAGCTCATGGTTAAAGCCAACATTCAAGTAATAGGCACGAAATCTGATATCCATTGATTCCTGGTAGAAGCACTATTTGGAACAACTGAAGGAGAGTAGATAGCCAATTCCTGGCAGGCACTGGGATTTCAACATGCTCTATAAAGCAAGAGCCCTGTGACTTGCAAAGACTGTTCTGGTAAGCCTCCCCACTGTTGTGTGTTCCAGTTGGTCCCAAGACTCAAGTCCTGGGAATAGGCCTCTGAGAAAAGCGAATCTAGGGAGATTCAAGATATAGGCTACAGATTGTGCCTAAGCTTCTTGTCATCTAATTGTTTACCTAGTGCTGCATGAGCTTACTAAGCCACAGGGAAACACATTAAGCACAAGGAATTGTAGAAAGGCTGTAAGAAGACACCTGGGTCCTGCCTTTAGGCAATAAGGGCAAACAACACAAGCAAATAAAATTCTAAATGCTATAAAGTATTCTCCACAAATTTATTTTGTTTGGCAGGCTGAGTTACTGCTTTCATTATTTCATTCATTCTTTAGCCTTAATCTTGGCCTTTGCCTAATCTCACCCCATCACTTCTCCCATTAGGAATTCAACTTCCAGAATGTCCAGTGGGTCAGTGTCATTACTGGGGAATGATTATTTGGCTTTTCAAAAACTCCTAATAAAAATGCAATGCACACACACAAAAAAATGTTTTTGAAGTGTGATTTTTATTACTGTCTTGGGGCAAAGATTGTTTCTGGTGCTACACAGTCATGACCTTTTAATGGAAGTTAATAGGAATACAGACTCTACTGAGTAGAGATTTGGTTTACAGCCAAATTTGCTGCAATGCATCTATTTTATTAGGCCGGTGATAGTTTTCTCAGTCACCATGAGGTGTGGGTGATTTTATGGAAAGAGAAGATTACATTGCTCTTATACAGCAAGAGTACATTCAAAGTTGTCCACCAGAACTTACCTCTAGAAGTTCATCTGCAATCTGTAGTCGACCATCTTTCCCTGCTGCTCCATTTGGATCAATTCCCACTATAAAGACACTCATTCTGGTTCGGTCTTTGTTCCCAGCAAGACTTAGACCCAAACCACTACGACCTTTCTCCAGCTGAATCATATGCAGCTCTCCTGTTAGGGTTCCATAACGCTCTCTAATATTTTCTGCATACAACAACAACACCATATGTATTTAAAGTTAATTCACATAATTCTTAGTAATGCTTTACTATGTAAGGTTATTTACTTTCATCACAAGAGGGAATTATTTGAATCAAAATGTAAAAAGCTAAACAGATGGGCTGCCTGGACATCAGAACTGGTTTCCTGAAGTACTCAAACTTTGAAGAATTTATTTGCATGAAGTGTACAAAGAACATAATGTCTGATTAATCAGTTCACCTCAGGCCCAAGAGAAATGATTCACATTTACAAACTCTCAAAAGCCACAATTAAATTTACTTTATTATTTGAAAAGCCGAAAAGTACTAATGCATCCAGAACAATTGTGCTGACTAATCAGTGGGAGCTTCTCTTCCACAGGAAAATCTACACTGTATATTACATTATGTATTACATCATGTTGGGCAGTTGCTCAGTGTGCACAACCAGAATGAAAGATATGGGTTATCTTATTACACCAAGCCATTAGGCCAGAACAAATTGACTATACTTGCCTCAGCCTTGAGACAGGTCCTAATTAGGTGAGACCATTTATATCTCCTACTCTACATCTTTAAGAGATGGAATTTATTTTCTGCCCTCTTTAATCTGAGAGGGCAGGGCCACACTTAGGTCCTGCAAGGTCCAGATTAGTGACCAGTCAGTAGCCAGTACTAACAGCCAAATGTACAAGTGAGTCCTCTTGGAAGTCTAGCCCCGCAGAGCCCAGTCAACCTCCATACTACAGATTATTAATACATTTTCGTTTAAGTCATTAAATTTTAGAGTGGTGTGATAATAGAAAACTGAAACATTCTGGTACATATTTTTCTCTGAGTACATTCTGATACTGTGGCTTTCTTAAATAAGGGAATTTGTAGATATTTTTAAAAATGTAACTTTTTAACAAAATGACACATTCATAACTTTTGGATGAACTTTTAATCTTTCTCTGCAAAATTTTCTTAAAAAAGAGAGATACCCCACGGATCCTAATACATCTGACTTTGAAAAAATGCTCATCAAATCTCCAAAGTTTTGATCTCAACAATTATACTATGTTACAACCTAGTACAAAAAGTACCAGAAATTCAGAGTATAATATCAACAGCTGCCAGATTTTACAATGAGGAATCTGAGACCTAATGAAGTGTAATGTTGGTTCAAGATCACAGGGTGGGCTGATCTGGCATATCCTGTCCTTGTTAATTCTCATATGAGGAGCAAAGGGGTTTTGGGGATGCACATTTAAAGGAAAGGAAGAACATGACTTCATGCCTCAGGAATGTATGTTGTATTCAAGAAAAACAAACAACACATTTTTTTTTTCCGACTAAGAACTGCAATGTCTATCATAAAGCCGAAACATACTTGTTCATACAAGGCATAAGTCTTCAGGAAAAAAAAGCTTTTTAGTACCTCGTATAATTAAATGCATCACAAATGACAACTTACTCCAGCTGTAACCAAACTCATCCTCTTTGTCCACATCTTCTGAGATTTTGGTTTCAGATGACTGTGCATAATCACTGCCCATTTCTGCAAATGCTGAAGGAGAGGGTGGAGGAGCCTCACACAATGGAGCCTTCTCTGGCTCTGACTCTGACTGACTGGGTGCCTGTGGGAACAAGAAGAATGCAGTGGGTATGTGCAGTCTGAGGAAGAAAACCTTAAGGAAAAGACATAAGTATAATGTCAAAACAAAAATGGCCTTAAAATATCCACCAAATAATGAAAAGCTCAAATATAAATTTATTAAATGTTAGAGAGGATTCAGGTAAAGTTTAAATATACAGAAAAAAATAATTTCAGTAAACTGTTATTTGCTATTATAAGTGAATGAATTCAATTTGAAGGCTTAAATGACCTAAGATAGAAAATTATACAAACTTTCCCTGTTGAAAAATACATTTTCATTCAAAAGTTATCATAAATATTCAAGGGTCTGTGCAAGTTTGTGGGGGTCTAAAAAAGTCTGCCAAGAAACAAAGAAGAAAAAAGAAAAAAAATAACGAAGATGTTGTCCTTTAAATCTTGTTAGCAAGACTATACAGAACAAATTCTTTATTAATACCTGAATCCTCTCTTCAAAGGGCCCTCAAGAAATCCATGAAAAACAGCATTCCACATGCAGGTTCCTCTACCAGAGTACCAGTCGACATTAGCATATAGGACAGGGACTCATATCTGAGGAATGTGATTTTAAGGGATAGCACTGTATTTCTCTTGCCAAAATAGCTTAGGCAAAAACGAAAACAGAGTACTTCATAAAAAGTCCACACGTGGCATACTTACTGTCACTTAGGACCATCGGTCCTATCAAAAGAAATGGGGTTTGGTATGATCTGGTTCTTAAATTAGAGATTACCAAACAGAATATAAGAGTTTGAATTGTCTTTGAGCCACTGAATTCACTTTATTCATTTGTAAGATAAATAATCCTTTTGAAACTGAGGCCGCGAGAAGAGAAAAATTTTGTTCAAAGTTACACAGTCCTAACTAGACTTCCTTTTGCTTAATTCTTGATCCAATGCACTTTGTATTATACTATGCTGTCTCCTCCAATTTCTATGGTAAGGCAGTGCCTGACTCAAGCGTCAGAAAAACCTGACTAAACTGCTAGTCCTTGTAAGACCCTGTCGCTGATGCCTTCAACCTGTATTTTTTTTTTTTTTTTACTCTTCTTTCCTGTACTTTTTTCTGCATAAAAAAACTTTTTTTCTTTTATAGGTTTAATTTATGAAACCATGTTTTTCTTTTTTAAACCTACTTCTAATAAGAACACACCAAATGTACAAAAACTTAGGAATTATTAATGGGGCCATGACTCAGAATACCATAAAATATACCTAACACTACATGACACTGAATAAGATCTTTCTTCAATGACTCAAAAAGCATTCATTTTTCTGGAGAGGTCTGGTTTATAGAGACTTTGGGGCAATTTTTTTTTTTTTTTTGGTTATATAATTTGCTACATACAACGATCAGTCAACACATCATTGGCCAAACAGATAAAAGTTACTAGTACAAATGAAATCCCTGTTATCTTCCCAAGATCTCTGCCATAAATCTTTCAAATTAATAATGTACAAATGAAAATGAGCAAACAAAAGATCATTTGATCTGCTCATTTAAAAATATTACTAAAGTAGAGAGAGAGAGATGTACTTCAGAATTTTTCCTAGTTTCAAACAACATTTATTTCTACGTAACAACAGAAAGTTGTTATTTAGCAAGCATACATTAAGTCCATTTCATTTTTAAAAAGTGAAACAATCTATTTGAACATCCCAAAATTTAACAAATCTATGGATGTACATTTTATTTGCTGCATAATTTTTGACTATTATTTTGCTTAAGAACAAAGAAACAAAATTTGTTTATCTGTAGAATCCTTCAGGATCTTAGGTACAACATACTCCTAACTGTGAGTAAAATAAAATGGTACTGTAATCTCACTAATGAATCAGAAAACTAATACTACCTGCATTGACTCGAGGGACAATTAGAAGTCTTCTATTTTATCACCCCTAACACCCTTGTTTTACCAAGATCATATAATCAATTTGTTAGTGACACTTCTTAAAATTTATTTGGGAAAATATTGGTCTTTAACAAAGATCATTTATCCTTATTTGGCAAAAAGGCCAAGTGCAATTGCAATCACTCCATGCCACTAAGTAAAACATACATGTACTGCACACTGTAACACACCTACTTACACAAAATTTCACTTTGAGACAAACCTTAAATGGTGTGGGAGCAAAAGGGTTAGTTGGGGAACAATGGAAGATAACTCTACTTGAATTCTGTAATTCCTATAGTAACAGAAAACATATTCGTTCAGATACAGCATCTTTGCTTATCCATATCACAAAAACATGAAGATCTGATGAATATTCATAAAATGTTTCCTTAAAAAATTGTTGACAGCTTTCTTCATTTCCATGATTAAATTATGGTATATAAATTCTTGTAAATTTTTGTTTCAATTTTGGTGTTACAATTTCATCAGAATATGAGAATATTCAAGGACATATTTAGGAGCATAGAAAGAGCTATGTTTCCTGATGGAGGGTTTTATACGGATGCACTTTAAGAATATTCAGCAGACTCCTGCACATTCACGTACACAATTATTTGCAGTGATTAACTTAAGGAAGAGCTTTCATGACATCTTGTTAAAGTCTGAAAAAGTTTTAAACATACACAAGGCTTTGAAGAAATTACGTGTGAGAGTAGTGATACCTTTTGGTAACTAATAAAAATTAAAGTGTCAGAAAATTCAAATCTACCAAACTTCAGGAAAAACACTGGACTCATGATCTCCCTTCCTTTCAGAAGGGCCATTTAACTTCCACTATAAAAATAAACATTCTGTGGCAGGACAGTGCACTTAAGAAAGGATTTGCATGCCCACTCCAAACACAACAGTTGTTTGTTTTCCACAACATATATAATAAATGGTGAGGTGGGACAAGGCACAGTAGTAACAAAGAACAAAACATTTTCAAAAGGCAATGTCAAGACAATGGGCATTATCCAACCTTGTCAGCGTTGAACTGGAGAGAGTCAGCAAATGGGTTAGTGCTGCTGAAGTTGTACTTAGGGTAAAGGTTGTGCGGCAAGGAAGGCAAAAGGGATTTCTAAAAGGAAACATAAGAGGCGCTGAGCGCAAAGGAACGTATTTAAAACAACTCAACTTTAAGAATAAAGTACTTACTGACTTAAAAGAGTTGTCTAAGTGATACTAGATTCTGTGTATTTGGTACATAATTAATAGCATCATCTTCTTTGACAGTCTGTTACTAAAGCTTTTCTTCTAATGACCTGAATCATTTAAACCTGAGTTTAAATCAGTCAACAAACCTCACAGGAAACTAGGTTGAAAGGGACCCCAAATTTCTTTTATTTCCACTGAATGGCTGTACCATCCTAAGTAAAGCACACTTGCCCATTTTATGTTTTATGTTTCATGCCTATCAATAAATATGTTTCAAATTTAAAACCACCCAAGTTTTTTTTTAATTTACATTTAAAAGCTAGTTGTGTTATTTTTAATAGTCTGTCTGTTCAAGGATGTGTCTGTTGGTCCCTCAGTAACCTTTATTATTCCTTACTCTGTTTTCTGCTAAGGAAACTTCCATGCCTAGACTAGATATTAAGGCTGCTCCAAAGCAATCATACTCTTTAATTTAAAAACATGAAGAAATGAACCCCTCTACAATGGAGTTCTCTATTTCTGCCTGCTTTTGTGGAGTTGGGAATATGGAGTTTCATATATTTTTAAGTTTCTATAAAACTTCCCACATTATCAGGGAATTTATGGGCTTTGGATAATATTTGAAGTCCTGCCTTGAGTATTTCTCACAGGTTTTGTGGCTTGCCCGTATGTAATTCGCCCGGAGCCAGCAGTCTTTTAGAGTTGAATATACATATTAAAGGCAGGATGCCTGCCAGATAGGATTTAGCATTTCCATAGTTAGGATAAAAAAATAAAAAAAACAAGAAAAGTAATTTCCTTAGCACAATAAGTTATTCTCCTTCTTTTCACAACCACTATCTTTTGCTTTTATTGACTATATCTTTCAGGGGAGATTGAAGACATTTAAAATTCATTTTGGCTCCAATTAAATGTTTGTGTTACTTTTCTCTATAAAAAAAAAAGCCCCACTGGCAGGCATGGAGTGTAGAGAGGTTGTCATGTGACACACCACCCTGTACTGGAGAACACTCTGGAAAGACGCTATCTTCAGTGTGCCTGTACCAAAGCTTATGCCACATTACCCTTTCAATCTGCTCTTCTTGCAATGTTTTTCCTACAGAGGCAAGACAGGAAAAAGATATGGGCACAATGACATTTATGCTCATCTCAACTTTCTCCCTACTTTTCAGTTTAAAATGTCAACTCCTGCTTTACAAAAGAGAAGATCATAAATGCCAAGGAACATGACCACTTATTAAGGTGAAAGAAATGACTGGGCAGACATGAAAGACATATCCTAGATAAAACGGTTTAATGCTATTGAGGATAAAGATGATTAATTTTCATCCATCATATATTTATGTTTTAATTATATAGAACAACAGAAAACAAAACCATTATAGCATGAAATGAAATATTTAAAAACAGCTCTAGGTTTTTTTTTTTTTTTTTTAATTTGCAGATCTTATAGGATTAGAATTTGGCCCTGATAGCAGAGTGTAAATAAATGTACAGCAGGAGAGCAGCAGATGAAATCTAGGACACTATATTATTAGGGAAAGATATATAGAAAAATGACTTTTTGCTTAAAAAAAATCAATGATGAACTTCTATTCATAGTCTCAAAGGCTGATAAAAGCAGAAACATTATTAATGGAGAAGAAGCAAAGAGAACACAAAAACATTCTCTAGCTGGAATTAATAGAGCCCCTCTTCAATCAAGACAATGGACCAGAGTGAACTCTGAAGCATCTCACATGTGACATTATCAGACAGACTGAGAAGTTCACATTCTTGAACAGGCTAAAGGCCAAAGAGATAAACTGGCTTTTTAGCCTACTGGCTTTTCAGTCTATGTATAAGATTTCCTAGGAAACCTCATCTTCCATCCACAAATAAATAAACATTTACCACTAAGAAACTCACATATGTGCATTGTGTTTTTTTTTTTTGTTTTTTGTTTTTGCTTTAGATTACTGAAGACATGATTGTTTCCATAGGGAAGTAAATCAATGGAAGCAAAGTATACTTCATTTAAAATGCAAAAGTTATTCTAATTTCCTGAAGCAAAATATGTGTAACTTGACTAAACACGTCATTTTAAAAAAGATGTTTTCATGGAATAATTACAATAAAATTAGGCATCATTATACCTCAGATAATAAAATAGAAATATTTTCAAGTTATATGAGACAATATCCCTTTAGCTCACTAGACTGCAATTGAAAGAGATGTTTATAGTTTAAGTTTTTAAAGTAATATTAAGAATAACTATTCTGCATTAAATAGTAGTGTCTCAAATGAGATAAAAATTAGAAATTTAAAAAAATTAAGACAAAAAAAAAGAAAAAAACCCACCCAACCACACAAGAAATAGCTTAAACTTAACTTAAACAGCCATTTACCAACATTATCATGCTGTGTTTATGTTTAACACAACAAATTGAAACAAATGTATAAAGATTTGTAGTTATTTAAACAAACTGAATAGCATTTGTAAAGAATGCAGCAAGATGCAGCCCTACCATTTGGCAGATTTTCTATCTGAATGGATAATTATTACCTAACAATAAACAACTGAATGATTAAAAACTGCAGATGTGAATATAACTGCATACATTAAGAACTACTAAATTTGTTCCTTACAGTGAACCCAGAACAGAGTTACACCTGCCTAAAGGACAAAAGGAAGACCAGTAAGACCAACCTGGTCACTCTGTACTCCATGGCATACAATGCTGATGCTACTTTTACTGGCCTCACACACAGGGCTGTTTACTAATTTCCATCCATCATTTGAGCATTTATATCTTAAATTCATAATTTTATAATTTACAACTCAATATATCTTGCCTTTAACTTCCCTCATATATGTTGATATTTTTCTTTTAAAGATAACCAACTCTAAAAACTGTAAGCAGATAATTCAAAGGGAATTAGTATGAGAAGGGTTGTTAAATTAAATCCAGAAATGGAGTCCCTAAGAGCTTCAGGAGATTTATGAAACTCCAGAAATGGTATAAAAACTTATGAACGAGTGGGTATGTTCTGAAGAACTTTCTCAGGGGTATGTGACACAAATATATTTAATAACTGCTATATATGAATTTTTTTTCAATAAGACATAAAGAAGGAATATGAAGAAAAATTTTAAACTCAGCATAATTTTCACATTGAGCATCATTAGGACTTATAAAATATAAGAAGCCTCATTTTGAATCTTTTCCATCAATAATATTCATTCATGTACTTATATTTTCTAAAATATATTTTAAAGCTCTTTTACTTGTGATGACTGAAGGTAAACTGGGTTAACAGATTCTGTCCATCATAAGCTATATAATGACAAGTTACAGATGATGATTTTGGCTAGAAACAGCAATCATGAACTCTTGTAGATAAAAAATATATATATATATATATCCTCATTGTAGAAATCTTGTCCAGTGGGATGCAGACACATCAAAGACAGGAAACCGTATAGAGAATATGTTTAAAGAAAACATAATTCTTTCCTGCTCCTCAGTTTCTCCGTATTAAACTGAGTGCACCATATTCTGTTCAATAGCTTGTATAATTTGTGTCTATAATGAATAAAAATAGTTAACCATCGAGAAACCTATGGTCACCAGTAAAACCTACTTCTGTGAGTCTTCAATAGACTTCAAGTCTTTATTAAACATAGTTGAAGGGATGTTCAGGAAACTCAATGTTTAAAAAACAAAAGAAACTTTCAGTAAGTCTTTGAAACTTCAAGAATCCATATCTGCTCATACAGACAACTTGGCAGTTGCTACATTAGACTCCAAGTTGAGCTCTGTTTGGAGACTCCTACCTTGCCCTCTGTGTTCGCTTACCCTTGGTCTGTTTATAATGCTCTGTACCATAAAGACTACGGGGTTGCCTGCTTTCCGAATGGCTTCCACAGCTTGTTCATGGCTTGCATCTCTGAGGTCCATTCCATCCACCTGCAATGGAAGGCCTCAGCTTAACATTTCAAGAAGCTACAGAACAAAAGAACAATTTGTGGATCTCCAGTTTTGAGGATCCTTGGCTAGGCTCCTGGAAAATCTGGTACAGTATCAAAAATAATTAAGACTACTTGTGAGACAGCAAACCGTTTCATCTGTTCATCAGACTTGTGGGCCCCTGTTTTGGACACAGGTTTCTGACTCTGATCGTTAACTGAAATACTAAGCAACTGGAATGAAAGCTTGATTTCTGCATTCCTTACACTGCTCAGTTGTTCTTTAAATCAGCATCATTAAATAAATAATATGAGGTAACTACCTAACAGCATTGTCTTCATCATAAAAGTCACTGTACTGAATTTTTCCTAATTCAATATAGAATGGGATTTGGGAAGTAGGTAGGTAATGCTTTGTTTATTTCTCTCTGTACAAGAAGTTGAAGTTAAAAACAAAATTCTGATATTCAGAAAAACCAGATGATGGTAAGGTTAGTTTTGAAAAGGAATATTTGCAGTAGACATGACAGGAGCTAGAAGCCAAGAAGTTGTGCTCATTTGTTAGTAATTACTACATAAACAGCTTAAAAATTATTTTGTAACTTTTTATTGACCACGGCTTGCCCCTGGTGATGACCAGCTCAGCTTATACACTACATGAACGAGAAGGAAAATAGTTTAAAAGGCCAAATGCTAATCCTGTCAGAAAACTGTAGATATTATTATCATTTCCAATTACCAAATAAGGTCTGAGTGAACACAATTCCGGAAAAGAAAATCAATTATTAGGTCCTGGCACAGAATATTTTCATCTTTATCTGAAAACCTACCTCAGGTTGATACTTGAAGGCATAACAATATATTTTTCAATGTTTTGTTTATGCTTTTATAAAACAAAAGGGAGTATACATATCTACTATATATTACAGTAGTGGGAAAATTTAACAGGATGCCAATGCATCTGTGATAAAGTCCAAAGAACTCCATACTCTATATAGAATACTTTGAAGGTCTCTGCTCACCTAACCAATATACATTTCCAGAAATGTAGCACAGGCACATTTTAAGATCCTCAGTGTAATAGAGGCCGGAGGCTTTCTTATTTCCCTGAAATAAAACACTCCACAAATCACTGCTAAATTACATAGTTATTTTACAACACAAAAATGATCTCCTTTTTATTTGAAAGGAATGCTTTAACTCAATATATTTAAAAACAATTTTGGGGTAAACTCTGACCAATCCTTTCTAGAAATAATTATAAATAATTCTTACATTTTTACTTAAGTCAAAGGCTTTTAATAGTGAAGTACACATAAACCAAAATTCTTACTGATAATCTAAAAATGAAAATTTTAGATGGAACTTTAATTAAAAAGAATTCTTTAAAAGGGGACTAACATATCATCTAACAAAAGGTAAGCCACAGCAGGGAGAAAGCATATCAATATAAATTGCTACAGAGAAGAAAAAAGGAACAAACTGAAATATGCTTTCTCTCAAATCTCAATTTCTTTCTTCTTCAGCTTTCAGAGACAATCAATGAAGGACCAGATAAGCAAATCCTAAAAAGATTCATTTTAAAGTATGGTTGATGTGTCATAGCCTTCTAAACAATTAAAGCATTTAATTTTTTTTTAGTTGTTGATGGACCTTTATTTTATTCATTTTTATGTGATGCTGAGGATTGAAACCAGTGCCTCACACATGTTAGGCAAGCACTCTACCACTGTGCCACAACCCCAGCTCAACAATTAAAGCACTTTAATGTGTAAATGATATGTGTTTAGAAACTTTCTTTGTAAGTTTCCCTTTTAGACTTCTATAAATCAGAAAATCAGGTATACCTACCTTTCTACCATTTTAAATAAAACTATGCTTAACCTGATAAAATAATGTATCTTACTGCTTTGAAGTTACTTGATTACTTTCCAAATCTGTCCCTCTTGCTGGGCAGGCGTCCAGAGCCTGATATAGCACCTGGAATGCAACAGCTGCTCCAGCAATACTCTGTGAGTAAATGACTGAATCATCGGAAATGAATCTGCCTAAAATATTAAGCTTTGAACTAAGGAATTAGGTGCAACTTGACTACTTGCTTCTCCCTCATATATACGAAAACCCACACATGTGCTCACACGTGAACATATGCCTATGCACATGCACACACACAGGCTTCAGTGGTGAATGGTGCAGCCCCAAGAAGGAAGAGGATCCTAGCTAAGACAGAGGGAAACATTTATTCGAAAAATAATCAATGTCTTATCGAAGATGTTACCAAAAAAGATGTATGTGGAACAAAATCTCATCCAAGAAAGTTTAGCTGCAATGAAATTATAATTATAAAGTATTTCTGGAAATAAAATCTCATTGGAAAACTATATTATAATATGTACATTTTATATGTGCACATAAAATTTTAAATAATTCAGTTTTTCTTTGAGAAATTTGCTGTACTCTTTCAAACAGAGCATAATTATTTGACCTTGGGGCAATGTTTTCAAAGGTAGCTAAGTGTATCTCTAAACATTAGTCTCTACATCAAAATAACAATCTTTCATCATAGATATAAAATAAAATTATACATAAAAAAAAAAAAGAAATACTTCAGCCATAAACATCATGCTCTAACACCGGGTTGAATAACCATGTAAAGATGACAACCCATTGGCACAGAGGGAGAAGAGGGGTGAACTTTAGTACAGAAAGCTCACTGGAGGGTACCTCCACTATTCTGTCTCCAGATTTCAAGGTTCCATTTTTGCCAGCTGGACTATCTTCAAGAACATGCTTGATGAAGATGCCCCTCATCACTTCACCATTGCTGAGGCGACTTCCCATTCCCCGTCCACCAACAATGCTGATACCCAAGGATTTGCTTGGTTCTCTCCAAAGTTCAACCCTACAAAAAAATTAAAATTTAAACTCTCAGAAGAAAACTTGGAGAAAAAGCTTCTTGGTGCTGAATCTGGCAATGCCTTCTTGTTTAAGACACCAAAGACACAGACAATACAAGGAAAAGAGACAAACTGTATTTTATCAAAATGAAAACCTTGTAAATCTAAGGGCACCGTCCAAAGCCAAATAAGACAACAACACGCAGGAGGAAAATAGTTTGATAATCACATCTGGTAAAGGATTAAAATCCAGAACATAACCTAGACAAAGGACTTGAATGGATGACTATCTAAAGAAGATATGTAAGTGGCCCATAAAAACATGAAAAGATGCTTAACATCACTAATTAGCAGAGATACAAATCAATACACAGTAAGACACTATTTCATACCCATTAGGATGGCAATTATCAAAAAAGCAAAAATTAGAAGTACTGAAGAGAAAAATGGGACCATGTGCCTTGCTGGAGGAAATGTGAAATGGGGCAGCTGCTGTGGTAAGCAGATTATAGCTTCTTTAAATAATTAAAAATATAATCTCTATGATTCAGCAATTCTACTTCTGGGATATGTCTAAAAGAACTCAAAGTAGGGTCTCAAATAGACATTTTGTCCACCTATGCCACAGAAGCATTGTTCACAATAGACAAAGGTGGAAGCAACACAAGTATCCATCAAAATGAGTGCAATGGATAAACAAAATGGTATATAATGCAATGGAATATTAGTCTTAAAAAGGAAGAAAATTCTGAAACATGTTTCAACAAGGATGATGTTTGAGGACACTATGCTAAGTAAAATAAGTCAGCTCAGTGAAATAAAGGACAAATGCAATATGACTGTACTCATATGATACAGCTGGAACAGTCAAGTTCATAAACAGAAAAGAGAATGGTGGTTGCCAGGGGGTGGAGGAGGAAAGAATGGGAGTTACTGCTTAATGGGCACAGTTTCAGTTTTACAAGATGAAAAAAAGCTCTACTGATGGAGGGCGGTGATGGTCATATAGTGATGTGAGTGCAAACCACTTAAAAATGGTTAAAAATAATAATAGATAAATATTTTAAAACCAATGGCATATTAATAGTAAAATAAAATAGATTTTAAGTACTTTCACAATTATGTGTTTTGTAGAGTCTGATGTAAATACTATTGTATTTATGAAGCTGATTTGTTATAAGTAAATATTGCTCTCACACACCAGGCTGGGGCACAGACCAATATAAAAGTACCATTTTGCTGGAGGTTTAATATTACAGACATTAAGTAATCAGGAAATTCTGCTACCACTGAACAGATGGCAGCTTCTAAGCTTAGCAGCCAAATCCAGAGAAAGAACACTCCTGCACATGCTATGTTAGAATCTTGCCTGTGTAGAAGTCTTTCCTGCCAAGGCAGACCTGGTCATTAATAGTCAGGGCATGAATAACAGTGGCTGACAAAATCCTACATGATCTGATCCTTCCACTATCTCTTTAACCTCCCTAAACTGCACTATGCTCTTCTCACTCCGCTACCATATTATCTCCTTATTGTTCCTTAAATTCATAGGCATGCTCCTGCCTTGGGGCCTTGGCACTTGCTACTTCCTCTGCCTTGAAAGAGCTTCCCCTACCTACAAAATAAATGCATGACTCATATGGAATAATTGTAAATAGTTGTAAGAGTTATGAATGGATTTAAAGTGAAAAGGCAGGGATACAAAAATACGGTGATTTGCAGTGAGATGAGGCAGCAGCTGAGGGTGCTGGAAGACAACACACTGAACAGAGAGCTTAAGGAAGTGATGGCAACCTGCAGTCTCTTCTATGCCTCACCAAAGAAGGCAGTGTTAGACATTAGGCAGGAGAAGACAGCATGGCCAAATATGCCCAGAGCATTGACATTTGAGATGCTCCCTCAGAGGAATGGTGGAAGTAAGAACTCCTACAAAATGGAGGAGGTTCCAGAAAGAAAAGTCTGGGGATTAAAAAGCACTCCAAACAGGTAGAGTGGGCAATGAATCAGATAAACACAGACACAGATATACAATTATCCTTTGGTCAGTACATTTTCTTAACTAAAATCTATAATCCCAGAAATTTTACCTGTTTAGTTTGAAAGACTCTTACCATGATACTTGATCATGCAAAATGTTTGTGGATGAACTAGTTAAAATCCTATCCATTATTTTTCTCTCATTCATTTCATTTAATTCTCAAACCATCCCCACAAAGTGGATAGTCTTGACTAGTCCCACTTAACAAACAAGGGGAGAATCACAGAGAGATGAAGTAACTTTTAGGTAATAGTTCTGTATGCTTCAGTGGGTTTGGTACAGATAGCAAGGGTATAAATATACTGCTTAGATCTAAAGGCTGTAAATTCTTAATACAGGCAGAAGACAATGGAAGACAGAGCTACCAAAATGACCACAGTGATAATTCATTAGTCACTGAACACAGCAATGGTAAATATCCCTGGGAAAGACAAAGAAGATCTGTAGAAGAAACACTGTAGAACAGGTTCATTTTTACTTCTACAGTAAAAAAGGCAGTCTTTCTGGAAATTTATACATAGATTTATAAAGAATGAAACTTAGGTAAAAATAAAACACAGCTCACAGGCCAGACTGCTTAGGCTATAAGATGAGTTTCTAAAATCAAGTCTGCTCTTCTGCTCTTTAATAACACATAACATGATCACCTTACATAACTATGAAATGGAACAAATAATCAGAGAGTTATGCAACCAATTACTTAAAGCATATAAGTGCAAAAGAAAAGGTTTGGCATGGTGTAAGCAACCATCACATGCTTTATTACTAGAATGCTGCTGATGATGATTATTGCACTAATGGAAGGAAATACAAAATTCAGTTCATGTCATGCGAGTAGAGGTGCACCCCACCGCACTGATGCTGTTATACCTATAGGTCTATCAAGTCTAGGTGTCATGTTCCATCCACCAGACTGAAACAACACTCTGTGACGTGATAACAAGGATACAGAAAAAAAGGAACTCATATATTTAAAACAGAACGAAAACTTGGTATGGCCACCTTGAAAAGCAATTTAACAACTGATTTAATAAATTAAAAAATATATTAATTTATGGGACAGTAATTCCTTTTCTGGATAAACAGCTAGATAAAGTTTCCTACAAAAGTACAAATAGATATATTTACTACACAGAATTACTGTAATAGCAAATATCAAATATTAACCTGAGAATGGGTAAACTGGTATATTCACATTGGAATGCAACAGAATAATAATTATCCATTAAATATAATAAAATATCCATTCCAAATTGAATGAATAAGATATTAAGTATTAAATATGACAGATCTCCAAAATACTGGGTTGAAAGAAAAATTAAGAAAGGTGGAAAATGATACATAAAGTATTAATTCTACAAATGAAAACCACATGTAAAACAAACAGTAATACAGCCTATTTTACAATGTTAAGATTTATAATTCAAAAATACTATTCTCTATTTCCACAGGAAGTAAATTCTTGCAGATTTCATGAATGGATGAAATGAAGCATGTCCTCGCTGACTAAAGGTTTTTATTATCTGGTAAGCTTTCTCCTTATATTCTATAAACTTTTCCCCAAAAGTACCTTAGTGCTTCTATATACAGTTGTGAACAAAAGGTATACTGTTTAGAAGGGTTAATGAAAACTTCCTTTTGTCTATGTAAGGAGCTACATAATGATAATGATTCCTGTGTTTGGTATCTTCTCTTTGCTTAGTTATGAGTATTCTATATCACATCACTACAGACAAGACAAACCATGAGGAACTCACTGTGCGGAGCATTATGCTAAGGCTTTTAGGTGTATTAACTCACTGGCTCTTCCCCCAAATTCAAAAAGTTCTGCCTACACCCTATTTTAGAGATGAAGCAACTAAGACCTAGCGCAGATAAAGACACCTGTCTTAGAAAACATCAAAGCCAGAATTCCAATGGAGCTTTTACTTACTTTCACATTTAGCATATGCTTTTTAAGAATTATTTTCCCTCTCATAATGCTGTTAAAAAAACTGACCAACATATCTTACTTTTTCCCCTTGATTACTGTCCTCTGACAAAATTTAAGTTAACCATATGACCATCTGCTACAAAATAATTATATTTAAGTTACTTCTGCCTCTGTCTAAAATAAATAGGATACCTTTTATTTTCTGACATAGATCTAAAACTAATTCTTAATGTGGGTAGTGCTATGCAGAAACCTTGATTTTTTTTTAAGCAAATTGAATACTTTTGAAGAAATTCAATAAAAGCTCATTCAATAAATATTTACTGCTTCTCTGAAAGAAACAGAAAATGATGATTTCTGTATTTTAAAATAATTAAATATGATGGTTAGAGGCTCAAGTTCATTTTTCAACTGGGAAAATCATCAAACTGTATTCCATCTCTGGAGAATTTTATTTATTCTGTGTAACAAATAACAATGTTTACTAAAGGCAAGGAACCATCAGGATGGTTACCAATAGATTTGTTTGGAGACGCTATGCAATGATTACTTATATTCACACTTAATGCAAAATATCTTATACTGTTTTTTTTTTTTCACGTGTCTCTATATCTTGCCCAGCCAAGTATATAACTTCCTTAGAGATAAGATTTATATCTTATATTTACTACTCTGCTATTTACAAAATCATCAGCTTTAGGTCTGTTTCCATGTCAGGACTCGATACATTCCTATTAAATTGAAGTTGATTACACTCAGCATGAACACTTTAATGTACCTTAATGATTAAAACACATTAACATATCTGAGCATATTTAAGAAAACCATGTTTTCTATTATATATTAATCTGGTGCAAGACAGAGTATTGCTTAGGATAAGTAGCCTGTAATAACAAGGTATTCTCTCTCTTCCCCTCTCCCTCCCCCTCTCCCTCCCTCCCTCCCTCCCTCTCTCTCTTTCTCTCTCTCTCACACACACACACATATACACATTTTTAATATATTTTTAATATATACCTGAATATCTAGTTTCTACAAATGCCAGGTAAATTTAATTGAACATTTCATGTTATACAGAAAATATCCATTCCAATTACCTACACATTATTTCTTTTTCTACTTTTGTTTTGTCCCTACTACATGCCAGATTCTTGGATTTTAACTCTGTATGGCATTCATATTTTCTCCACTGTGCACATGAAGAAATAGAGGGATAAGAATATTAAACAACTTGTCCAAGGTCACAAATGACAAGATATAATCTGGTACTTGAAACCACACTTCCTTCTTTAAACACACCAAATGGGCAAAAGAAAAAAATTCTTACCGCCTGGGCTGATTCCAATTGCTATATGCTGCATTCTGAAGTTCACTCTCCTCTCCCTCTCCTTCTTCTCGCTCTGGTAGTTCTGGAATGTCTCTAGTTAAAGAATTACACAGAGAATTCTCCATTTAATCTTGTCTCATATATACTTAATTTTTGGTTAAGCTAAAAATGCAGAACTGCTTTACATTTTCACCATATCTGGCCAATAACTATATAATATTTTTACAGCAGTGGGAAAAGAAAACTAACCACCACAAATTAGAATCTTACACTATGATCAATCTACTATAACTTATTCTGGAGATAATAGCTGAATCCTAAGAACCTTGTCTAGTTTGTTTCTTGGCTGATAAAGAAGGAAATAAATAGTGGAATTTTATACAACTATTCCACAAATACTCCTAAATTTCTATCATGTGCAAAAAAGCAAGAGGCACCAAGTTGGTTATAAGCATGTGCAATCTTGCTCCCTATCCTGAAAGAATTTATCAAGAACCTCTATAGTTTAGTATTTCTTCCTAAAAATGGACCACACTGAAACATCTTGTGAGGAAAGATGGAAAATGCTTCTGGTCCAGTATCTGCCCATCCAGGGGTCCCTGACATAGAATATCTGAGTAGAAAGTTGTTTATAACATGCCTATTCCAGATCATTTTTCAATTTTTGTAGAAATTGATTTTGACAAATGCCAAGCATATAACAAAACATCTGTATATAAATAAAACTACACAATAATTATATCAAGAACTATTTGTTTTCCCAAAGGTACACTTTGTATCAACAAATGACAATGTACAGGCAATCGAAAATGTTAAATTGATTATGGCAGGTTTTTAAGCTATTAGTAAAAATTGGATTTCTTATTTATTTATTTATTTATTTATTTATTGGTTGTTCAAAACATTACAAAGCTCTTGACATATCATATTTCATACATTAGATTCAAGTTGGTTATGAACTCCCAATTTTACCCCAAATACAGATTGCAGAATCACATCAGTTACACATCCACATTTTTACATAATGCCCTATTAGTAACTGTTGTATTCTGCTACCTTTCCTATCCTCTACTATCCCCCCTCCCCTCCCCTCTTCTCTTTCTACCCTATCTACTGTAATTCATTTCTCTCCTTGTTTATTTTCCCATTCCCCTCACAACCTCTTATATGTAATTTTGTATAACAATGAGGGTCTCCCTCCATTACCATGCAATTTCCCTTTTCTCTCCCTTTCCCTCCCAAATCATGTATCTGTTTAATGTTAATCATTTCTTCCTGCTCTTCCTCCCTGCTCTGTTCTTAGTTGCTCTCATTATATCAAAGAAGACATTTGGTATTTGTTTTTTAGGGATTGGCTAGCTTCACTAAGCATAATCTGGTCTAGTGCCATCCATTTCCCTGCAAATTCCATGATTTTGTCATTTTTTAGTGCTGCGTAATACTCCATGGTGTATAAATGCCACTTTTTTTTATCCATTCTGGAAAAATAAAAGACCCAGAATAGCAAAAGCAATTCTAAGCAGGAAGTGTGAATCAGGCGGTATAGCGATACCAGATTTAAAACTATATTACAGAGCAATAGTAACAAAAACAGCATGGTACTGGTACCAAAACAGGCGGGTGGACCAATGGTACAGAATAGAGGACACAGAGACTAATCCACAAAGCTACAACTATCTTATATTTGATAAAGGAGCTAAAAGCATGCAATGGAGGAAGGATAGCATCTTCAACTGATAGTTTTCCCAACTGGAAATCCATATGCAACAAAATGAAACTGAATCCCCTCCTCTTGCCATGCACAAAAGTTAACTCAAAGTGGATCAAGGAGCTAGATATCAAATCAGAGACTCTGCGTCTGATAGAAGAAAAAGTTGGCTCCGATCTACATATTGTGGGGTCGGCCTCCAAATTCCTTAATAGGACACCCATAGCACAAAAGTTAATAACAAGAATCAACAAATAGGACTTACTTAACTGAAAAGTTTTTTCTCAGCAAGAGAAACAATAAGAGAGGTAAATAGGGAGCCTACATCATGGGAACAAATTTTCACTCCTCACACTTCAGATAGAGCCCTAATATCCAGAGTATACAAAGAACTCAAAAAATTAAACAATAAGAAAACAAATAACCCAATCAACAAATGGGCCAAAGACCTGAACAGACACTTCTCAGAGGAGGACATACAATCAATCAACAAGTACATGAAAAAATGCTCACCATCTCTAGCTGTCAGAGAAATGCAAATCAAAACCACCCTAAGACACCATCTCATTCCAGTAAGATTGGCAGCCATTATGAAGTCAAACAACAACAAGTGCTGGCGAGGATGTGGGGAAAAGGGAACTCTTGTACATTGCTGGTGGGACTGCAAACTGTTGTGGCCAATTTGGAAAGCAGTATGGAGGTTCCTGGGAAAGCTGGGAATGGAACCACCATTTGACCCAGCTATTGCCCTTCTTGGACTATTCCCTGAAGATCTTAAAAGAGCGTACTACAGGGATACTGCTGCATCAATGTTCATAGCAGCACAATTCACAATTGCTAAAAACTGGATTTCTAAAGAACATATCCACATCTTCCCTTTAAAGCATAGAAGGCTACAACAATTCTGATTTAAAAAACATTTTAAATTGTTTTTTTCTATAGGAACTGAAAAATCTAAAAGAAAAAAAGGTATGTTTAAACTATAGCCATTCTCCAATATAGTAATACTGAAGTTTCCAAATTATATAATCAGAAGTCATTGAATCCAACCTCCATATATGCTTTAAGGAAATCTACCTGCTATTGGTCCTACTTATTGGTTTCATGTTTTAATTCCCCTCTATTATACTGAAGAATAAGGTTCTGAGTATGGCTAGGCTTCCTAGAGTCCAAACCTGACATTAGGGCAGAAGAGCTGGCAAAAATTCCAAGAAAGGAATTCCGAACTTGTGTCAAGGAGCCGCCTGAGAAACACAGAAGATGCAAGGCAGAGAGGTGAAAAAGAGACCTAACCCTCTGGAATTAGAACTGGAGAGAATATGATGTTATAGGTAGGTTTTGAAGACAAATAGAATGAGAACTTGGGAAGAGTCCCTAAAATATACAGTGACAGTCATGAGGTGGTGGACAGATTCTTAGGCCTGAAGTCTCAGCAGGGGGAGCTACTCAAAAATACTCTTGGGTCCTGACTTTTCAGCTATGAGAAGACTAATCCTGAAGGCTCTGAAACACAAAACTCAGTCTCTTCAAATCTTTCTGTAATCTTGAATCCTTTCACTAATCCAGATATGCTCCTCTGAATGTGTTGATTATTCTTTATCCATCTTAAGAGTGTGGCTTCAGCAACTCAAGCGTTAAGGGTTCCTTAGAGCAAAATGCACTAATTTTCTTCTTTCTGGGCTCACTCAGCCAAAAATGAATTAGATTTTTTTCTACCCTATGTTACACTGTTGAGAACCAAAGAAATTTCTATCAATTATCCACACTAACTCTCTTTATACCCACACGAGTGCCAGGTGAAGTAACCGGGACAAAGTCACATAGAAATGCAGCAATCTGATCTCAACTGAGGCCATCTTTCCATAAAACCTGAGTTTTGTGGAAAACAAAAGGCGATGCTGCCTTTTGTTTTTATGTGGCACATTTTTTTATGGACAACTATGATTCTTTTTTTTTTTTTTGGAATAAATGGTTAAAAACAGAGTCTCAATGCTTATATTCCAAGCTTGACTCTGACACTTATTAGCTGTGCAGTTTGTGTAAGTTATTTAATCTCTCTCTACTGCAGATTCCTCCCCTATAAAATGAAGGTAATTTTGTTTTATTTTAAGCAATCTGACATCAATAGTAAGCAGCAAGCAGCTGGTCACAGCATAGACCATCAAGGTTCTTCTTTCTATGCTGAGGGAAGCGTAATACTAAAAATAGCTCTTACTTTCTAATACCTTTTGATATTTTGAAGGTCTAGAACTTAACAGTACTAAGATATTACCTGGTATATTCTTTAATTATGCCACTGGAAACACTAAAGAAGGGCATCTCAATGATGGCCATTCCCATTTTGGCTGGATGCACTAGGAAACTATAATCAATTCATGCCACTAACCCAGAGATAAAAATACGACAGTGCAGTGTAGCGGAGATTTGTATAGGGTGGAGTGCATGCTCCTTTTCCATAAAATTCACAAGACACCAAGGACTACAACATTCCTTCCTCTTATTAAACACATAGCATGCCTTTCCCTTCCCTAACACTTTTGGTACACTATGTAACTTTTGGTCTTATGTAACTTGCAGAGGAAGTGATTATACTATATCATGATTCCTGCAGTGTTGATGGACCCCAGACTGTTCTGGGATGTTCTGACATCCTCTCAGGCATGACAGAACTCTTCTGAGAAGACCCCAGAATGCTTTTGAGGCTCCTTCTGTTTTACAGCATGCTTAAAGAGGAATTTGGCATTCAGTTAGTTACCTGTGTAATTTTTTTTTAAAGTCCACAACTGAGATTTAAGAAAAGGCACATTCTTCAGGGGAAAGAAATTTGATATGATTTTTTTCCCCTTGCTCTGAACTTAGCAGAAGCATTAAGCCCAGGTTGCTGTCTTTCCTAAAGGAATAACACTTACCATTTCTTAATATACAGAACATCAAGAGCCTATAAAAAAGCTAAACATTCTGTGTCAAGCTATAACATGCATATATACCTCACATTAGGCTTAACATTCTCCAGAGTAAAAATGTATCTATCAAAAATGTTTCTAAATCTACATCTATCTATATATTTTAATGAAGGAATAAATAAAATTCTGAAGATGTTTGATAATATCATGGATAAAAAATATATACAAACCATAAAAATTGTGTTTTAAGGAACTAATGAAATAATATTAAAACCTGGTGTGAATTACCAAAACCTGAATTACCAAAAACCTGGTGTGAATTACCAAAACTTCAAAGTGCTACACTAGGTGGAAGAATTGAAGATTATTTTAATTTCTTGATTTGAATATTCATATATTTCCCAAATTTTCCACACTATACAATAATTACTTAAGCAGTTGAGGGAAAAGTGGAGAAAATGTTTAAAAATCTTGAAAGAAGGAAAAGAACTCAAACTTTTACTTTGTTCTTAATCTCTGACTCAGGATTCAAAATTCTTCTTTATAGTTTGCTGTATAGTTCATTTACTGCAGTAGATTTAATGCTTCATTTACCTGCCAGTGTATGAAGAAAAAATATCCAGTGCCATTATTCCTCCAGATTGTTGTCCCAAACTTATTCTGAACTCCTCCAAATGTTCTGCAGGCACATAAGTAATTCTGAAACAAAACAAAGTCCATGAGCTGGGTGCAGTGGTGTATGCCTGTTATCTCAGCGGGTTAGGAGGCTGAGGCAGGAGGATAGCGAGTTCAAAGCCAGTCTCAGCAAAAGTGAGGCACTAAACAACTCAGTGAGACCCTGTCTCTAAATAAAATACAAAAATAGAGCTGGGGATGTGGCTCAGTTGTTCAATCCCCAGTATGCCCCCGCCCCCCCCCAAAAAAAACAAAGTCCATGAAAACAAAGAGAAGCAAAGTTTTACCCTTTAGGAAAAGCTTTTAAAGTGTAGGAAAAAATTATATTGTCCCCTCACTCCTGCTTTACTTAGCACACTCAGCAAATCATTCAACTTCAAAAGGCCAAAAGTATTCTATAGGCAAAATAACCAAAATTAAAATTTTAAATGCATAATAAACTATATGTTTACTAATAATCATATGAGAAGGAAAGTGGCATTATTTACATTTCCAAATGAGAAAGCTAACAGCATCTTTTTTTTAAATTAGGAAGATGCATAAATCCTTAGAGGGATGGGGATGTACCTCAGTGGAAAAGCACTTGCCTAGTGCACAAATCCCTGGATTCAATCCCCAGCATCACAAAATAAAATAATAGTAACTGTCAATACTACCATTCATTTGTGTCCAAAGATATTTGGGTTCCCTAGCAGAAACAAATTAGGTGTATGCTATTAAAACACTAAATATCTCAATTCAGTTTATATTTTTTCATAATAATTCATTATGGACATTTAACAAGCATTACCAATAATTATGTTAGCTCTGTTATGTGATGAATTTTCAATTCAGAAGTATGAAGTTACTGAACCACTTAAGGAAAGATCTAATTTATAGTAATTTCTCATTAGTTCACTTTTATTTCAAAGGAAAGTCTACTGTTTATAAGAGAAAGACTATTTGTTAATTCACCAAGCACTCACTTAATGCCTATAATGTAGAAGGCACTGTGCTAGATTCTGAGCATAGCCATTCTATTTAGAAACTGGTATTTGAAAGTTTAAGTGTAATGCTTTCCTACAAGCCTATTTTCAAAGTTGATACGATTTTTGAGTAGTCTGTTCAATATCCTCACAATAATAAAAAGTAAGGTCAGAGAAATACTGTACCTGAAGTTAGTATGATTATCTTGTGCAACTAAGAAAGAAATATGTATAAAACATGCCCCAAATAGAAATCCATGCATAATTTATTCATTAGGAGAATAAGTTCAGAAAAATCTCAGCACCAGAGAGCAAGGCCACACAGACTGCATTTATTTTATAATAAAATAAAAATTTCAAAATTAGCATAATTTCTGCAGTGAGAAGGATGCATAATATCAGCTATATTGATGATTCCACAGAAAACATTCACTCTTTCACTTCTCCAAAGTGTGGGGTCACTTGGGTTTGGGTTCTGTCTGTCATTAGGAGCATGTTGAGAGGTAAATCACCATAGCTTAACCATACATACCCTCAACCACAAAATAAAGAGGGCAGTATAAGCTAAGAAGTACTATACAGATGTAAGACAGTGCTCCAGCAGGACACACGCTCTGCTTATCACATCCACAACTCCAGCAGAACACACGGACTTTTAGGAATTTCTTAGTAATTTCTTCTTTTACCTTAAGGATCAAAAACTAAATCTGAAAGCACTAGGTAGAGTGAGTAAGCTTCACTCAAATTCTGGCCATACTTGATTTATTCATCAATAAAAACACCTTCTCTAAGGTACTACAAAAAATATTGAATAGTAAAGTTGCCATTATCCCTTCAAAACTAATGAGTCAAAAATGTGTGATACATTGCATCAGGAGACTGCATTTTATACAAAGCCCAATAAAGATAAACACAAAACCTAAAATATGAAAAGGCTATTTCAAAAAACTGTATAACTTCTGAAGATTTGGGAAAACTAATATAAATAAAGCCTAAAATCTTAAGTTAAAGCCAGGAAAAGGTGAGGGGGCAAATGCAGGATGCAAAACCAATAGTAATAATAAGCTCAAAGCATTCAGATTTTTAACTGGTTTGAGAAGGTAAAGATGTTCATAACTCAATGCTCAAGTGAGTTTTTCTCTATATTTGTTTAAAGCTTTTTTTTTTAACAAAGGGGAGGGAGTAGGGGGAGTTTTATAGTTTGAGTAGCAGTGAGAAAGAGCAAAGGCAGCAGTTTTCACAAATATTTAGCCCAATATAAACAGTGAAGCCAGGAGAATAAGCATCCCACAATGCAACAGTGCACAGAGCAATCCCAACACATGCCTGGTTACACGACCACACAAAAACATCACATCACCAACAAAGAACACTGAAACCGAATTACAAACTGCATAAACACTGAAAACAGATTATCTGAGAGTTATATTAAAATTCTTCAATGTAAACTAACTTTTGATTACACATGGAGTAGAAGAAAAAAGAATACCATTAGTGATGCTGAAATATGATATAGCTATTAATCCAGAGACTGTGCCTGCACGTGCAGACAGGATTATTCTCTTACAAAGGAGGTTGAAAGCTTAGTAGTTGGAAAAAATGATTTTCAAATGAGTTCCCAGTCATCATTGCACTGTGAAATGTAACAATTTCATAGCTCTGTTGGAATTTATGTTCTTATATACATGAAAGAAAAAACCCAAAATGTATACAGTGAATCTATATCTGGATCTATCACTACATTGGGACAGTTACAAAAGCACGAAATGTTTTTCACAGACAAGTTGTAACACACGGCCATAATGAGCTTTTGAATCACCAATACTCACACATAAAAGGGGGCTCGATCGTCAGCAGGTGCTGCAGAAAATCTAGAATGTGAAGCATACGCCGTGGCATCTTTTTACAATGGTGTTAACAAATGTCAATGTCTTGTGCTGAATGTGAGATGCATACATATGTAGTTAAAAATGGGTGCTCCTGGTTGTTTTTTTTCCTTTTCCCTTTCCACCTCCCTCTCATCTACACCTCCCCCAGAAAAGCATCTGCTCTTTACTAGTGTCTATAGCAGTGATTATTAACAAGCATGGAAAAATGTAACTGCAATCAATCTTTTATTCCTTGATCAGGAATTCATCCCACACTTTAGGTTAAGGCAGGTGAATTCTGATTCAGCTTGGTAATTATCTGGCAGATGTTACAAGCAGCTGCTGCTAAGCACAAAACCCTGGCTATTATTACAGAAATATAAGAGCTCCTGGCAAGGTGGAGTGAGAAGTGAAATAGAATGCATTCTGGTGAGACTTCACATCTGGTTTTTCATAGAAAATAATGAAACCTGGAACTTAAACTGGCTGTTCTTGAACTCTTGAAACTCAAATTATCTATCCAGGCATACATGAATGCACACACACAAAGTTCCTAGCTATCTATGGTAAATGGCAAAAAAGAAATCCAGTACATTGTCTGCATGAGCAATGCTTTCCCTATAACCAATCAGTTATGTAACTGAACCAGGCTTTTTGTTATAATACACCTCCCCACCACCAGCCCAGATTAAGCTAAATTTATAAAAATAAATAAAGAGAAAGTGATGTGCATGGAGCATAAATCCAGGCACTGAGTACAAAGCTTGATTGGCCAGAGGCAGTGCTATGCTTCCATGCACAATAATGAAACCACTAGACTTTCCTTTTGGGAGGATTATTCACACAAGATTCAAGGTAATTGTAAACTTTTTACTTCTTGAAGGGCAAGAGATAGAAAGGGATGGGGCCAAAAACACTTTATGCAAAATGCAGGGACCATGCTGCTTAGCCCTGATCAATCTAAATGGCTATTTTGTTTCATCATCTAACATTTTTTTTTCCTGAAAAAAGATCATGCAAGGATGACTTTATATTCCTTTTATCATTTACTCAATAAATCAAGCTATACCACCTGAATCACAGCATTAGTGGGACACTTGAGAAGAAATGAATGTTTTGTGCTTCTGCGTATGTATGTGTATGTATCGGTGTGTAATGTATGTACGTATAAGTGTGCAGGTGAGAGAATGACTCCCAGAGGAGGGAAGGCGATAGTATTTTCCTTCCTACCTCCCTCCCTTCCTTCCATCTTTCTTTCCTTCCTTCAATATAGAACTTCATAGTACATTTTGACTGCTGAGATCTGAATGCAATTAATTAGAAAACTAGCTCTCTAGATATCCTTCGAGGTAATAATGAAGTGGCTGTCTCTATCAATGGGTAATTCTGCTGGATCAGTGGGTGGGGGAGAGGGAAAATACGCACATGAAGGAAAGGAAAAGGAAAAGGAAAAAGAAAAGAAAAACCAAAACAATAAGGGAGGGAAGGGGTGATTTTTGAGCTTCAAAAGGTATATCAAAACTTCTTCAGAACTAGCTAGATGCATGATTTAGGTTAAACTGATTCATCAATATTCATATTTGGGGGGCCACTTTTTAATGTCTGTAGTACATTAGAACAAAGGGGTAAGGCTAGCAGCAGATACTTATTCTGGTGCTTAGAGGGCAAAAAGTGGGCAGGGAACCTGTGCCCATACACAGACCATATGCAAAGGAAATACATAAGAAACAGCGCAATAAATCAAGTACTCAGTAACAGGTCATTTGTATTTATACTACATCCAATCTATGTAGACCAAAACCCCTGCAATAGTCTCCATATGCATCTATATCATTTATCTTTTTTATTTGTTCTTTTTATTTTTTTTATTTTATCTTTTATTTATTTATTATTTTTTTTATTTGTTCTTTTTAGATATACATGACAGTAGAGTATATGTTGACATACCTACATGGAGTATAACTTATTCTAATTAGGATCCCATTTCTGTGGTTGTACATGATGTGAAATTTCACAGGATCTGTATTCATATATGAACATAGGAAAGTTATGTCTGATTCATTTTTCTGTCCTTCCTATTCCTATTCCCCCTCTCTTCCCTTCTTTTAAGCAAAAGGAAGAAACACTGGCCACAAGAGGTAGGAAATGCACTTAGTTTCTATTTTCATACAACAGAGGGGCTGACATTTTTAAACAATGTTCACTTTTACTCTTATCATTGTAAGATAATTAAGAAAAAGTAACATGTTCTCATGATCTGTGCAACTGTAAAATAAAATAGGCATGCAAAAATATGAAATCCCATTAGTGAATATTCAAAAATAGTATCTTCTTTTTATAAGACAGCAGAAACCATTGCAAATGGTATATACTTTTCTGCTTTTTATTGCTGGCCGAATGGAAAACATATTGTAAATATAGCCTTTCCTACCAAAGCTACATCAGTGTACACTTTGCAATAATAAAGAATGCTATCAGCAAAATATTATTAATAAATAAAGTCTCCCATATCAGTAATCATTATCTCACATTAAGGCATACCATCCTTCCCTGATCTTTGATTTTATCCTTTATATATTAAACACAAATATTCAATAATTGATATTAGAGGAACATTGATGAGGTGTAACAATAAAGTCATGAACTGATTTTTATGATGACTCAAGGAACATTTAGCGATTCAGAAACTAAACCATATATATGATGTGCTATTAGAACATTATGGGGTTATGGGAAATTTTAAGCACTTCCAGAAAAAATAACCCATGACATATAATCAGACCATACCAAACATATTGTTGAATCCCTTTGGATCATGCAGTAGTTCATAAAAGGGTAAATTATGCGTCAGATGGGCACTGTCCTGCATGATCTTTCTCATGCTTGGCTATTAAAGAATTGGTTTTATGCTAGGGTTCACAGAGACAATTAGGCAGTATGTAATTCTTTATACTGAGGCCAATTCACACTTCTTTCTAAGAATCTAAAAGTGTATATCCCCACTCTGTGGGAGATTACTTCTCACATCTAGGGTTATTACAGAAATCACTGGAAAACTAAAATTAAAAACACAAAGTAATGTTGTTTTCCAAATTTCAACAGTTGTAGTCTTAAAGAGACTATATGTATAAACAAGAACTATTCAGAGATAGTCAAATTCTGAAATGATTTTGTTAAGAATGTGATAATTTTCACATATTTAAGTGAAATACACACTAAAAAAAATATTCTAATACACTGGAATTCCTAAAACTTTCCCAAGCCAAACTAGTGTCCAATTGATACTTACTTTATGTCAGGCCCAATGAGAGAATGTCTTCTCAACATGGCTCGTGCCTGGGCATTGGTTAAACTGATGGTAGATTCTTCATTAATGGATAAAATGCAGTCCCCAACGGCAATCCGGCCATCTCGACTAATGGCACCTCCGTGAATAATGCTTCGTACAATCATCCCCAAGCCATCTTTATTAGCACTTACTGTCATCCCTATGGAAATTGAGAAGTGCAGATATGGATTTAAATACACAATTTTCAAATGTGTTTTAATATGATTGTGTTTTAATATAATAATCATTATGGATTTATAGATAAAAATAGGAGTAACATTTTTAGTCAATAAAAACAAGAGAAAGGGCTGGGGCTCAGCGGCTGAGCGCTTGTCTAGCATGTTTGAGGCACTGGGTTCGGCGCTTGGCACCACATATAAATAAATTAATAAATAAAGGTCCAGTGACAATTTTAAAAAATATTAAAAAAAACAAAAGAAATGTTTTTCTAAGCAAAAATTTTTAAGTGCACATTAAAATGTTTGTGAAATTGTATGTTGATAAAAATACTCAATGTGTAATACGTTAGAGATGCAATCTTTTTACATTATGGAATTAATGGGAGGGATGAATGTATTGGTGGTCATCTGATGTCTTGCCCCCTTAAATAGAAAGCTTTTTCAAACAGAATGCCTTAACAGCATCAAATCAATTTTACAAGAGCAGTTAGTTCATTTCTTGCACATGTAAGAGAATAAAGATAGGACTTCAAATGGAAAATTAACTTTATAAATTAAGAAATTGCTACTACATTATTTTTAGGTTATATGTTTGTTCACAATCTATTTACTATATGGTTATTATTTGCCAAGTACTACATAGGTTGCTTAAGACAAAAAAAGCACAGCACAGAATTCCTAAAGCTTTTATTCTAAACTTAATCCCCAGTGCCTATCACAGTGTCTATATGCACAGCGTTCTGCTGACTAAACTGAACTTAAATCTAACCTATTCCCATTTTCTCTCTGAATTCCTATGAATTCCCAATTTGGATATTCAATTGCCTTCTTGACATGTCCCTGGATGTCTCACAAGAAATGTAACCTTAGTGAGTATGAAATTGAACATCCAATTTTTTTCCTACTCTTATTTCCCCATCTGTCTTCCCTTTTTTGATTAATTGTACTGCCACACAACTCTACGTTACTCAAAACAGAATATCTGGTTTATTCTTTATTCCCACCTCTTTCATCCCCTATATTTAATGCATCACCAAGACCTGAGGCTGACCTCAAGCTTGCAATTCTCCTCCCTTGGCTTCTCTGGTCACTGGGATTACAGGCATGTACCATCTTCTTCTTTAAAGTGTTAAATTAGAAACACGTGGAGAATGTCTCAAAGTATCTGGCACAAAGTACTCAAAAGTACAGATGTAAAACTAAAAACAAAAAGAAAACTCATAGGATATGTTTAAGTGCACCTCTATCCCAAAGCAAAGAACACTGCTTTCTAAAGGCTAAATACAAATCTTGATTGATCTTCAAAATGAAACAAATAGCAATCACAACGTGCTCTTGGGTAACCCAAGTACTATACTGAGTGCATTATAAGTTTTGTGAGAACTAAGACAGGTCTGGGTCCTGATTCTACCTCTGAAGGGTGTGAGTACTTTTAGGGAATTCCTGGGTTAATCCATGATTCCACACCTAATCAGTGAAGGGAATATATCATCTTCCTTTTCTTCCCTGTCCCCCTAAAAAACTTTGTTTTTGCCTCTTAAGCCCTAATACAACGTAACTAGCTAATGAACTACAGACCTATCAAAAATTATAAAGATTAGATAATTTTAAAGGTCACTATATGCATGTGTATGTGTGTATATCTGTATATAGAATGCCCACCCAAAAGTTAACAAAGTGAAAGTATAACCCAAGTTATTTATGAAACCAAAATAAATGAATTTATTAAAGTTTTTGTAGAAACCTATAAGGCTTTTTTTTTTTTTTTTCAGTGCTGAGCCTGTGCATGCAAGGCAAGTACTCTACCAACTGAGCCACTTCCCTAGCCCAAGTGTAATTAAGAGGGTCTTCTGCACTCTTTTTTCTTTTTTTGCGGGGGGGGGGGGTGCTGGGGATTAAACCCAGGGCCTTGTGCATGTAAGGCAAGCACTCTACCAACTGAGCTATATCCCAGCCCCATTACTTACTAATAATTTCTTCTGGTCATCAGTAGGGAAAAAAATTATCCATAAAACTAAAATTGCAAACCTCATATAGCTATCAAAGGGAGACTGAATCTGAAAAAATGGGCTCACTGACAAATCCCCTTATAGCACACTCTTCTACCAGCACAAAGTCAGCTCTGTTCAGATTTTCTAAAAGATTATTTATCATATTTTTTTGTCACTTCACATTGTAAAGGCAACCCCTTCCCACTTTAAAGCTTAACTGAATGTTTTAATTTCATTATTTTAATATATTACACAGATAGTTAAAATAGGCTTTTTTCATGATTCCTTTAAATTGTTATCTAGGTGATGTAGAAATCTGAACATTAAACATTTCCTGTTAAAGGACATAAAAGAGAAATGATCTCACCCTGGCACGTGGTGAATTTGAACTCTAAAAAGTAGAAGAGCCGAGCGCGGAGGCGCACCCTGTAATCCCAGCAGCCCAGGAAGCTGAAGCTGGAGGATCACGAGTTCAAAGCCAGCCTCAGCAAAAATGAGGCATTAAGAAACTCAGTGAGACCCTATCTCTATATAAAAAATAAGAAACAGGGTTGAGGATGTGGCTCAGCAGTCAAGTGCAGCCGAGTCCAATCACTGGTACCCAACCCTGACCCCAAAAACTAAAAAAAAACAAACCACTAAGGGTATACCAAGAAGTCAACCTGCCAAGGCTAAAGCTCTATAAATATTGTGAGTATGTAAATTAAATCATATAATGGAAATGAAGCAAAAAAGTACACCTAAAAGTTACTTATGCTTTGATAGTACAATTTGGGTGGTGAACTAATAAATCTCTGATTTCACACATAAACAAGTGTTACACAATCACAGAACAAATAAAAGGGCTCTTTTACACTTCAATTTCAAAATGGAGCTGTTGAGGTTTAAATGGATTTGCACACAGTAAAAAAAGAAAAGATCCTTCTACCTTTCACTATTTTTTCCCAGAGCAAAATTAACCTACTATATTTTATAGCAAACTTAAAAACCAAGGTGGAAACAACCCAAGTATCCTTCAACAGTTGAATGGATAAACATGTACACCTACAATGGAATATAATTTAGTCTTAAAAAGGAAAGACATTCTGACACATGCTACATGAATATGAACCTTGAAGACATTATGGTAAGTGAAGTAAGCCAGTCACAACATCACAAATTCCCCTTATGTGAAGTACCTAAGATAGTCAAATTCATAGAGTCAGAAAATAGAATGGTAGTTGGCAGGGATTTGATGAGGAAGAAAAGGGGAGTTACTATTTAACTGATACAGAGTTTCACTTACGGAGGATGAAACAGTCTCAAGACAGATAGTGATAATTATACAACAATGTGAATGACCTTAAAGCCACATCATGAATACAGAAAATGGTTAAAATGATCAATTTTTATGTTATATTCATATTTTGTCACAAAAAAATGCACCTTGATGCATTAACAGAATAAGCAAGAAAATTCATATAATCTTCTCAATAGAGGAAGAAAAGATTTTAACAAAATTCAACACTGAATAAACTAAAAGTAAGTAATTAATTTCAAATAATCAAGACAGTAAAATCAGATGTACTCAAACTCTGGCTCTTTATAAGAGCCTCTAAATGCTTCCAATCTAATTCACCAACTATGTTGGAATTTTAAAACAGAAATCAATCACCTCACACTACTGTTATTTTCTCCCACTGCAGTAGAGGGTTACAACAGAAGTCCTGTGCCCTCCACATATGCTGTCCACCTATCATTCCTTCAGCTTCCGTTTACTTTACCAGCCATCTCACATACCTAACCCTAAGCAAACAGGTTTTAGTAATGTTTCCTCTACCTCTCTCTATATGTATGTGTACATACATACATGTACATATGTATATATACACACACACACACTCACACACATAAACACACACACACACACACACACACACATGTATGTATATGCCTGGAGCACAACAAAGCAGAAACATCTGTGGTACAATTCTTTATTTACTTGCTGTTAGTAGTACTCAACCATCACCAAACAGAACAAAATCAAGGAGATAGAGACTGGAATTTCACTCACCAAAAAAGTACTTACAGATTCCTCTGCTAATTCTCAAATTTAACCAGGAAACAAGACCCTGCCATAAGATACTAATGTAAGGAGTGTTGGTACTTTATAAAAGAAACAGGGTTTTTAATGAAATAACTGGAGTCTTGGACATTTGGACATTCATGGCAACTAATCTATCATTCTGTTTATCAAGATGAATCAACAGGAACAGGGCTAAGTCACATGACTGCTTCACTCAGTAAGAGAACAAATGTGTTCTGTACAGACTCAATTTTAGCTACTGTAATTGGGATTTATTTCCACAGGAAGTCTTCTTTGCTCAATTCAGAGGGTATGTGATCATTAACTAGCCGAAACAATTTATGGGTAACAGAGGACTTAAAAATCCTGCCACCTGGAAGGTATTATTGAATAATTTGCATTTATATTTTGGTAGTGGTACACCTGCCTGTCTTTAGTCTTTATTTCAGTGAATGAAAGAAATTAAATACAAAATGACTTATGTGTAACTGGTAACACTCAAAGAGACTAATAATTTCCTTCTCCAAAGAATTTAAAATTCCAAATTGCTGACTTTTCATTTTCTAAGAATTCCTTTTCTGATTTGCTGTTTCATACACAAACAATTCATATATTTTTTACTTGAATGTAAATGAAGCTTTTGAATACTCTGAATTAATTAAGTAAATGAGAGATTTAAGCTAGTATGAAATAAACAAACCTGTTAACCATTTAAGGAAAAATAATGAGTACATAAAAAGAAAACACATAAAATTATAAGACATTTTCTAACATATATTTTCTTATTTACAGCAACAACAACAACAAAAAATGTTGAAACCTACCATGTTCAATATTTCCCTTTGTCAAGGGGGTTGGAAGAGTAGGGATGTATGGGTAAATGCGGAACTTACCAAGACTAGAATTGCCTTTTGCTATAGTAATAGTCCTTTCAAAAGATTCTTTGGATGAATTTTGTAGCATGATACATTCCACATTGGAGGCCAGGGAGCTCTGTTCAATTAAGTACTCAGAGCCCTGAAAAAAAAAAAATGCAAGTCACATGGAAAGGAAAACTAGACTTTGGAGCATGATTTCAACACTACACATCTTTAGTTCTATGTTTTTCAGCAAGAAAAACAAGATCAGAGGTTGCCTCAGGGCATGTGTCAGAGGAGCCTCATTCCAAATGACAGATTAGCCAGACCTCTAACTCTCCACTATCTCCTACCTCACTATGATGCACATACCACAACCTTTAAAATATTACCTTTCCAGTTGAATCAGACAGCACAGGAGAAGTAAGTTCTGTTCTTGATAAAACTTCACTTGGTAAATGAGATTCAGTCCAAGATATTGTGTTTTCACATTCATATTGTTGTTCAGTAGAATTTGCAGGTGTATAATCACTTGTGTTAAAACCAGAAGGAGGCCCCAAGCTCAAGTCTACTGAAGATGAATTCTCATCCTGTCTTTGGAGGAGATTCTGGGCATATAGTTCTTCCAAAGACATATGCAGATCAATTACTGGATCAGAAGAATTTTCAGTTATATCCTGAAAATGAAAGAAAAATATTAAAACCAGAATTAAATCAATTTATTTTATAACATTGCTTCTTAATGAGCAACTATTTAGTGAAAAATAAATCACAAGTATTCATTACTTAAAGAGTGTTAACAATGCTGGTGCAATGATACATACCTGTATTAACTAGCTATCAGGGGGGCTGAATAGGCTGAGACAGGAGGATAGCAAGTTCAAGGCCAGCATGGGCAATTTAGCAAGACCCTAACTCAAAATAAAAGGGCTGGGGATATAGCTTAGTAATAGCCTGCCAGTAGGTTCAATCCCCAGTATCACACACACACACACACACACAAAATAGATAGATAGATAGATAGATAGATAGAGATATGAATTAACAAATATTTCACTTAGCATAATTTTCTGCCTTTATTTTCATAAATACTTTTGAATAAATTTACTGCAAATCACACATTTCCTATTCTGAATTACCCTTGTACAACATACCATACCTAGGATCATTTAGGTAGAATATTATGTTCTATCCATAAAATAATATTATTCTGACTTCACATAGAGAAGCAAATAGCTTCGAATCTAATCTCATTTAAAGTGTAGTCCATTTCCAGTGAAGATCTACTTATTGAAATGAATGCATGCAAACTATAACATTAATTGATTTGGATTCATGAACCTCCAAGAGAAAATTATTTTGACTTGAATTTATAGGTATTTATGGAGAAGAAAAGAAAGGCTTGAAACTCGGATTATTATAGGGAAAATTTATATAAATATTCTTCAAGATTTAATAGGAGGAATATTAATCTGAGTGGTCATAAAATGTAGGTTTTAACCTAGGCTCTGTTATTAGCACAGACTCTCTCTCGGCTGTATATTATGCAATTTCTACAATTCTCTGAAATTCAAATTCTATAGATCTGTATAAATACACGTAATCTACTTACAGCAGATATGTTGTATCACTTATATGCTTTGGGCAAGCAATTACTTCCTGAATTGCTGCTGAATAAACACATCAGTTTTCCCTTCAATTCTTTGATTGATATTTTTAAAGTACAAAAGCAGCATATGATGAGCACATAACCATGTAAGATTCAAGCTTTATGGGGGCAGGAAAGATGGTGGAATGAGATGGACATCATTACCCTATGTACATATATAACTGCACATATGGTGTGATGTTCTATCATGTACAACCAGAGAAATGAAAAGTTGTGCTACAATTGTATATGATGAATCAAAATGCATTCTGCTATCATATATACCTAATTATAATAAATAAGTTCACAGAAGAAATAAATTGATCAACAAATATATGAAAAAGTGTTCAACATCTCTAGTAATTAGAGAAATGTGAATCAAAGCTACTCTAAGATTTCATCTCACTCCAGTCAGAATGGCAATCATCAAGAATACAGGCAACAATAAATGTTGGCGAGGATGTTGGGGAAAAGGTATGCTCATACACTGCTGGTAGGACTGCAAACTGGTACAACCACTATGGAAAGCAGTATGGAGATTCCTCAGAAAACTGGGAATGGAGTCACTATTTGACCCAGTTATCCCACTCCTTGGACTTAAAATCAGCATACTATAGTGACACAGCTTTATCAATGTTTACAGCAGCTCAATTCATAATAGCTAGACTATGGAACCAAGGTGTCCCTCAATAAATGAACGGATAAAGAAAATGTGGTAAATACACTCAATGGAATATTACTCAGCTTTAAAGAAGAGTGAAATTATGGCATTTGCCAATAAATGGTTGGAATTGAAAAATATCATGTTAAGAGAAATAAGCCAATCCCACAAAACCAAACACTGAATATTTTGTCTAATATGCAGGTGCTAATTCACAATAAGGTAAGGGGCACTAGGGAAAAATGGTGTTACCTTAGATTAGGTAGAGGGAAGCGATGGGAGGGGAGAAGAGGGGATAGGGGGATAGAAAAGATAACAGAATGAAACAGACATTATTCTTGTATGTATATATGTGACTATATGACCAATATGAAATTATATCCCATTTATGTATGATATATCAAAGTACATAAATGGATTCTACAGTCATGTATAACTAATTAAAACAAATAAAATAATAATAATAAAAAAGAAAACTGTTAGGAGATTCACAATTGCTAAACTATAGAAGCAACCTAGACGCCCATCAATAGATGAATGGATAAAGAAACTTATGGTACATATACATAATGGAATATTACTCAGCATTAAAAGAGACTAAAATTATGGCATTTGCAGGTAAAAAAAAAAAAAAAGATTCAAGCCTTACAGACGTACACTGTGTATGAACACAAAAGTCTTCCTTCATACCCGGTACTCTATTACCTTCTCCAGTGAAAATGGCTGGCATCACTTAGTTGTTTGATCATATTTTTATCCATCTGCATAATACATACATACGCATACACAGATACACACACATTCAAGTTGATATATACATACATTTTTAAAACTTAAACAGAACCATACATTAAGTGGCATTTTTAACTTGTTCCTTTTTTATCCCCAGTATATTCACATCTCAATGTAAGAAATGGCCGTGTCACTCAAAAAAAGAAAAAGTCAACTCCAGTGTTTTATGGCTATCAATTATTCCTAAATATGAAAGGCACTGGAGTGTACACTTTGGAGTCAGGCTACCTGAATTCAAATTCTAGCTCCACATCTGGTTAACTGAGTTTGGAAAGTTAAACACTCTGAACCCTTATTGAGGCTGAAATATTAGGTGTCTGACAAAAGTGTATGTGTGAAACAATGTAAGAAACTCTAGAGGTGAAATGATTGGATTATGAGAACATTACCCTAGTCAGTGCCTCAATCCCTGACAGGGATTAACTGGGTAGTAACAGCAGGAAAGTAAGATGTGGCTGGAGTATGTAGGCCCTTAGGAACATGCCATTGGAGTTTATATTTTGTCTTGGTGAAGATCTCTCTCCTTCCCTCCCTCTCTATCTCTCCCTCCCCCCCTCCCTCTGTCCTCTCTCTATTTCTCCCTCCCTCTCCCTCTCTCTCCCTCCCTCCTCTCTTTCTCTCTCTCCCTCCCTCTCTCTCTTTCCCTCCCCCCTCTCTCCCTCCCTGTTTCCCTCCCTTCCTCTCTCTCTCCCTCTCTCTCTTCTTCCTGCTGTGATGTCCTGAGCTGCTTTCCTCTCCCACACTCTTAGCACCATAATGTTCTGCCTCAACTTAGGTCCCAAAGAACGAAGTCAGCCATCTATGGATTAAGACCTCCAAAACTACAAGCCCCCAAATAAACATATTCTCTAAGTATTCTTATCAGGTCTTTTGGTCACAGAAGTGAAAAAACTGACTAAAACAGCCCTGGTTCCCTGGCCTATTAATAAAGGAAAACAACAGAACCCATATTATCTGTTCTGTTAGAACCAACCATTAATTACCACAAAGTAGAGGCCCAACAGAAATTACCCAATAACTATTAGCTTTTACAGTTATTTATTTATATTATGTAACTTTATACACATGTGTGATAATGTGTTTCCTATAAACTACAGAACTGGAGTAGTGGGTCAAATCATATGCACACTTAAAATACCGCTATTTATTGCTAAACTATCTTCCACTTTCTTCCACAAAAAAGAATATGTGAATACCTATTCATCTTACCAACTCTAGATCAGTTTGGTAATCCAATCGGTCAGAAATATATTCAGCAGTGTTTTACTATGCATGCTTCTAACAATTAGCAAGATCATATCATTTATACATCTTCTGTGAACATTTTCTTCATGTCCTTCCTTCAGCTTTTTAATCAACAGATTTTCACTTATTCTTGATCTTTTCTGAATATAAAATCTTTGTGATATATACTACAAATATTGTCCCAGTTACTTGTCTCCTAAGTTTTTAATAGGTAATATTTATGTCATTACAAAGATAAATTCTTTGTGTAATCAAATTTGTCCATATTTTTGTGCTTCTAGGTTTTATATATAGCTTCATAAATATCTCCTTGACACAATGTAAATGAAATGTTTTCTGGTATTTTCCTTGTATTTATATAATTTATTTTTAGATTTTAACCATCTACAACTTATTTCAGATATAGTATAAGAGATGGCTCTCTCTTTGATTAGTTTAACAGCTCCAATACAAATTATTATACTTCTCTTCTTCAATACAAGTTATCATTTCTCTATAATTTTCAAATATTTCTGACACAAAAGAATCAACAGAGTAGTTCTATCATGCAAGCAATTAATATATTTAGAATCTTCAGGAACAAATAATAGTAAAGTAACATTCTCCAATCAGAATCTGAACAATAACCTGTTGGCTCATCCACCCAACTTTATTTTATTTATTCTCATGAAAAATAACAATGTGCTAACTAAAGGAGTGGTTAGTTTCAGTATTACTAAATTAATTATAATAATTTTCAGTAAATCATCTCACCCACGCCTCAAAGAAAGAGAACAATTCAAAATTGCTTTTCATCAGAAAAAGAGGTCAAGCCACCCTTGTGAGCTGAGGTTTACTGAAAATCATGCAGCAGAAATTTCCATGCATTATTCATGAAGGAATTAACACAGACATACAGAAAAGAAATAGCTAATCAACACAGTAGACAACATACGCCTACTTCAGAAACATTTCTGGTTGCTGAACGACCAGAGTTTTATTTTTAAAAGTCTTATGGATCTAAAAGAAAAATATTTCTTCCCCCATAAAATGTCCAAAAATAACTCTATGATTTTCCAATGCAACTTGGTATCTAAACTGAACTTTTCTAAAAACCTGTATTAATATATGCCTCTACTTGATACATTCTTGTTATTTTCCTATTATAGGAAAAGACAACATCTTTTATACCTTTGAGAGTGCAATTTTGTCACTAAGACTTTCATAATTACTCCTACTATTTTGACTAGAGTGATTTATTTATTTTTTATTCAAACCTCTTCTCCAAAAACAAAATAATTAAGAAACAGCATTAACATTCTAAACAAGATGTGAAGGCAACAAATTTCAGCATTGGAGAATGACACTATGTGGAGATCTATGGTAATATATAGAATTTTTTTTAAAAAGGAATCTACTATTTGTGTTTGGTGTGTGAGGTTCAAAAAAAGATTTCTATCTTGACAGACACCAACTTCAACCTGCACTAGAAATCACAGGACTAACTGGTAAAACCAATATTCTGGAATGAAGAATGTGTACCATATCAGTTTTTTCCTGTCCGTACTGAGAGACTGAAAGTATGAATGTACATTACAGGGCAGAGAATGGGATGTGACAAGGAGTACAAACAGAGACTCAATATATAGCTATTAAATCTTTGTTGGTTGTATTTTCAAGTCAAAATAGGAAAAAAATAAAGCATCTTCTGAGAAACCATGTGAAACTTTTAAAGAAGTCTATGAATATTTAAGTTTGGAAAACAATTATTTTTGCATTTTATCATGACTTTGGAGGTAACAAGAAAAGGGAAATTGAAAGATTAATAAAAAATCAAAACCCATAACAATGAGAAAGGGAAAAAAACCAATGGCTTCAACCATGTTGCCTTTAAAATAACACATTTCAATCAACTACCTCTAATGAATTTGAATGCCATGAAATGGGTATATGTAAATCCTTACATGATAATTCATCAATGAAGCAAACACATATTCCTTTCAAAAGGCAAAACAGAATCGACCCCTAATGGAAGGCTTCTGTGAACAGGAACAAGTTATGGCTGTGGTCCTTAGGTGCTTAAGCTGCTGCTCAGTCCTCAACTCTGCTCTGAATGGTAAGTCCATGCTCTGGTGGTCAGCTCTTTTAACTTCTGGTAGGATACCTGACCAGGGTCGAAAGATCTCTCATCAAGGAGAGGACAGGTAAAATAACGTGTCTATTTCCAATCACCATTTAAGATCACAAGATTACCACAAAAATCTGAGGAATGACTGAGATCCTTACACTCTATCCTTCCTTCAAATCAGTATGGAGGTATCTTTGTTTTTCTTAAATATCCATATATACTTTATGGTTATTACAGTATAAGATCATATATATTTAAACAATCATATATACTACATGATTTTATTTTATTAAAAAGTAAGCTCACTTTTTTAAAAGAAAAATAGTGAATTCTAAATTGCATGACAAATCACCATTTTGTTTTTTAAAATAAATTTAGTGCAAAAAAAACCCAGAAAAAAATGCATTATATAAATTCTTAATCACATAAATTTTTTCACTAAAAAAGGCATAGAGGAAAAAAAAAAAAAACCCAGAGTTTCAGAGATTTACCATGATATAAGAACAGTTCTACTTTCTAAAAACACTGAAAGCACACAGGAGTTTCACAATGTGTTTTAGAACACCCTCATTATTGTCTTCTTTGTTGTTTTGTAGTTTAAATATTTCACTTGTTAGGCCAGCTTGCCAAAATTTGCTTCAACAAAAGAGAAAACTGCTTAGGGAGAAAAACAAGAAAAGAAAAAGAGGAGGCAAACAGACGTCAGTAAGCCAATATGTTGTGCTGCATACAGCCAGCATTCGCCCTGTAAAATGTATGCTTCTCAGTATGCAGATTGTGTAATCCCTTTAAGTAACAATTACTAAATTAAACAATGCAATCTGTCCCACTGGCAAGAAGAAGTGTGCTATGCTATGGATTAGGAGATTCCATCAGGAGATGAACTAGCTTCCAGCCCTGAGGCCAGTAAAGGCTGAACACATTCCAGACAGGAGGCAGCCAGACAGTCTCAGGTGTGCTAGGAGAGGAGCAGCTGCTCCACTCAAGATTATACCTTACAAACCAATTCAAGGAGATTGCCCAGCGTCATTTGAAAGGATAACAGGTGCACCTTGAACATAAAAGAAAATGCTTTCAAAATGTTCTGGCCAAAAAAATTACTTGTTAATCAGGAAAGGAGGAAACTGAAAATCCTACTTTCCAACTTATTCATATATGAGATCTCTTTCCACTGAATCCAATTTATAAGTATGGTATAATTCCAGCCTAGAAAAATAAACAATACATATCCATAAATGAACTCTTTGCCCAGATTAAATAGATACATTTTTCCATATGTTTTTAAATTACTTTTTTCTTAAAATGATATATTGTAAGTACAACTATATTTCTATGCTTCATCTTTTTCTCCAAAGGTAACTCCTTTCCTGAAGTTAGGAAGTATCATGCTCACACATTTTTAAGTTTCCAACACACATGTATACACCTACTCATAAAAATATATATTGTTTATGCATCAATTTCCATAAAATAAAAACTTCAACAAATAAACAGATAAGTAATCAAAATAATAACATTCAAAATAATTGAAGAGATCATTGATAAAAAGTGACAACCAAATGGCCAATATATGGAAAAGTATTCAATCTCACTAATAATGAAGAAAACAAAATGAAAATGTTGTAACACACCATTTTTCATTCAATATTGAATGGGTTTTTAAATGCTACTTAACTGAAAATTATAGCGTATATAACCAAGAAAATCAATAGAACTAGGGCATTTATGCCAATTATTTATTTCTAAAATATAGATGGCACAGATAGTCCAACAGTAACTAGACCCTTCAATTACATACACTGATATATACATACTTTGTCATTCACTGGGATTTTTATATAGTTTGCATTATTTTATATAAAAATGTAACATTTAGTTTAAGCCAGCAAATGCTAAATTAACGTAAGAAATATTTTACTATCCAACTTTGCCTAAAAGTTTTAAAATCATTAAAAAATATAAAGTCAATCTTGTAATTTTTCCAAAATAGACACTGCTAGTAATTTTGGCAACAGTGAGATCTATCCTTTTCAGCAATTCTATAGTCCTTTCTCCCTATCTCCAAGCCTCTCAATAAAATTAGTAGATTCCCCCACTAAAAAGTAACCATACACACCACTAAAAACACAATCTAATAAATGTATTTCATTAAATTTTCTTTATGATATGAAAATCCTAAAAGTTTTGAACATTTATGTCTACCACTGTCTTAGAAACACTAGAATTAAATAGCCCTTTATAGTCTGAAAGCTATAAAATTAACACTAGCTAAATTAAAGTGTAGTTTAATCTGATAGGTAATCCATGACTAAAGAAACAAAATGTTTCTAATATGCTACTCCCACAAGTCCCCATCAACCCTGACCTCTGGAAAGGTATTCACAAAGCTTTCTCAAAAATAAATGACATTGTCTCACTACCTTGGGAGGAGATGATGGCAGAGAGGAGCCATAGTTCAGACCATCACTGCAAGCACTGCCATGAAGAGATAAAACAGAGGCTTGGGTAGAGTAGACACTGTCATTATCAGGAGAGTACTGAGACTGAAATGTGGATTCATCTACCAATTCAGCACCATGTGTGTCCACCTAGGAATCAAACAATATCATCAGTTGGGAATTTTGTTCTAGCACTGAGGTCTCCACTTGAAACACAAAGGCATAGTGGCATCTTTCTTCAGTCTATCCTGCTCTACATTCTCTTCAGCATGTCAGAAACTGACTATATAGTACTTTACCTAGTGCAGCACAAGAGCAAATTGCTCACTTGTAGCAAAGGGTGCTGGAACCCACAGCTGCTTCATTTCCTCAATAAAACAGCCAAAGGTAACAATTAATAAAGGATCTGGATCAATTCTAAGTTTAAATAGCTCCATTAGTCATGGAAAGTGTTTACTTTTTTCCAGTTCACCTGACAAACTCTTATCATTTTATAATAAAATGAATGAGGACATGTCTTCTATTCAACTAAAATAAACTGCTGTTCAAAAAGGTAGCCATGCAATTATTATTTGTAAACCTCACTATAAACATATATTTTAAATTATCTTTAGTTAAACTTTAAATCCATTCAAGTCATAGAAACCAGAGAACATCTGAGATGTCATGCTAAAATTATAGCAACAAATAAGGGATCTAATAATGATATGATTAGTGAAGCTTTAAGTTATGAACTTCTATTAGAAAGCTCACATAGAATGAGATAGAAAATTTCATCACACATTATCTAAAAATCCTATTACAATCTTCTATAGTAGACCTAAGAACTGACCCTTTTCTTGTATTTCCAGCATTTTCTGGTTATCTTAATGGCAAAATCCCATTTTTCTATTTATTTTTTATTCCAACTTACATGTTTAATATAATTTAGAAGCTTTATCACAATATAGTAGGCTGTGCTCTTATAAAAAGCTCTTAAAAATACATTGGGGCCATTTCAAAGTGACCCTCTTGAAATATAATTTCATAGGCCTGAAAAATTATTTTAAATACACGTTCAAATGCATTAACAAATCACCATGTGGAGCTTTAGCCATTACAAATGTACATTATGTACAATAATCTAGATAGTAAATAATTAGTATTTACTATCTAGATAGTATTAGCTAAGCCTCGTGCCATACATTACAGTGCATAAACATTTGTTTTAAGTGACATTAAGGAAAGAATACCTCAGTCTAAGTTGTATACCTATCACTGATGCCTTATAGTCCCAGAGAGATCATTACAATTTGCTTAATTGCTGTACAGATAAAACACTGGAGCCCAAAGAAGATGAACAACCAGTCCAAGATTATATAACTGGTTAGAGAGAAGATCCAGGACACCTACTTCTATCATAAAGACTAGTTAAGCCTCCATAAAACTGGAACTAATATACTTTGTGATTGGGATTCTTTGAAGTTTAAGGAAGATATGTAAACTCTAGAAACAATGTTATTCTTAAGATACTTCAGGGATAATGATATATTTGTGTCCTATTGCATATAATTTTTTATTTTTATTTATTTATTTGTTTTGTTTGTTTTTGCTGTGGCTGAGTACTATTTAATACCAGAGTACTCACACAGTTCACTGCATACTAAATGATACTGTGCACAGAGAGCAAGGCCAAAGTTCCCTAGTGTGTTAAGTATCAAAATGTGAGATTACTGTATTGACTATAATACTGCAAACTTTCCAAATAGGTGTTTCAAGAGCTTGCAATTTCAAAATATTAACAAAAACAATTATCTTCTTCAAAATTAAGACCACAAATGGCACTAGGTCAAAGATGTGCACAGTGCACATAAAATATTGAACAAGGAAAATAGTGAGACTTTTCAGAATATTTTATAAGATAAAATAAGACATACAAGCATTTGAAAAGAGAACTTAATAAGTTGTAGCCACTAACCAGAGCCAAGTCAGCCCTGAAGAGGGCTTTGTCAGCCAGCCCTTGCTCCTCGCAGGAATGTGGCGGGTACAGAAAGGAATCCTCCTTAGCAGAAACATAACCTTCTTCAGGTGAAAGCTGCAGGAGAATGATATTTGAAAACCAGTTCATGAGAAAGACAGACAAAAATGAAGGGGGACAAAATGGAGGAAGGCAGACAAATAGGAAGGTAAGTGAGGAGAAAAGGAAAATATGGGAGTTTTTAAGATAAACATATGACTTCAACATTGAATAAGTATGAAATATAGCAAATATCTCTATTAAACATTTTATTTGAAAATATAAATTAAAATATTTTGGTATGAACATCATCTGTTAGATCAGAATCCATTTCTATTCTTTTTCTCATTTT